ACCTACTCATCTCCGTCTGCAGACTTGTGCGCAGCCTGTCAGCTGTCGTGCGTGTGAGCGTGTTTCACTGAGGGTGAATGTCTGGGTAATGGATGCTACAGGCGGCCACGGTGTTCGCCAAGCAGCGGGAACTGTCGCTTGCGGGCCGCGACCTCACGGCGCTGCCCAAGTGGGTGCGCGAGTTCCGAGGGCTGAGGAAGCTGGACCTCTCCGACAACCAGCTCACGGCGCTGCCCACCTACATCTCGGACTTCCGCCACCTCGAGAAGATGGACCTCACCGGCAACCCGCTGCCCAGCATCCCCGTCGAAATCAAGCAGCGCCTCGAACGCAGCCTCAAACCGCTCATGGTCTACCTCCGCAATCTCAAAATGTACGCAACACACCGCCGCACACGCACCGTCGCACACGCACACGCACACACCCCAACCGCACGCGCGCTCATACGTGTGGTGATCGGGTGTGTGTTTAGGTCGCAAGAGAAGAAGTGGTCACGGGTGAAGCTGATGCTGGTGGGCCGGGAGAACGTGGGCAAGACCTCGATTCTCAAGTGTCTCCACACCTTCCTCGACAACCCCAAACTGATGAAGAAGCAAAAGCCCGACAAGAAGAAGAAAAACGCGCCCAACATCCCTCTTCTCAGGTTCGTTTGCTCTCGCTTTCGTTTTCGCGTTCCCTTTCGTTATTTCCCCCCCCGCGGTTCATTCACTAATGCACATCTTTTCCATCACTATAGCACGGACGGCATTCAAATGGGGCGGCTCTCGACCGAGAATTGGGTGCGGCAGGCGAAGAAGGGCAGCAAGGGCAAAGAGGCCAAGAGCGACCCGGTCGAGTTCCAGACGTACGACTTTGGCGGGCAGGTGGTGTTCTACCCGACGCACCAGCTCTTCCTCACCGCCCGATCGCTGTACCTGGTCGTGTTCAACGTCGTCGAGGACGATCGCACAAACATTCAGTACTGGCTCAAGCAGGTCAAGACATCGACCAAGGGCCTCGAGGCGCCGGTCATCGTCGTCGGCACACACATCGACCACCCCAACTGCCCCAGCAGCCAGTCCCTCCTCCAAATCGGCAAGCAAATCCAACGGTACACGACACGACACACGACGCACGCATGACACACGCTAACGCTATTGAATGCAGACAAGACATGAACGTGCGCAAGGTGTGCTTCGTGAGCTGTCGGACTGGTGACGGCATCGAGGAGTTGATGGAGGCGATCGTGGACCTGGCCGAGAAGCACAGCTTCCTCAAGCAGACCGTGCCCGAGAGCTACCACCTGCTCCTCCAGACGATCGACAACCTGCGCAGCGGCAAGTCGCCCGACACGGCGGCTGACCACACTCTCGCAACTACGGGCAGCTCCGTCTCCATGCCCCTCATGCCGACCCCTGAGATGACAAAGACCGTGGCCCCTCTCTACAGCAGCGAATCCTTCATTACATTTTCTCGCGAGTCCGCAGCACAGGTTCGTTGCCCTTCGCTCTTCTCTCTTTCTCTTTCTCTGTTTTTTTTAGCTCCGGAACACTTGGTTTTAACTCCTATCTCTTTGTGTCCGCAGGAGGGCCTGAAGTGGACCACCTGGGAGCGTATCGAGAAGCTGGGCCGTGGGTGCGGCATTGCGCTGGAGGATCTGGGCGAGGTGGTGCACTTTCTGCACGACGTCGGCACGCTGGTGCACTTCGACGATCCCTTCGGCGGGCTGCAGGACCTGGTGGTGATCGACCCGCAGTGGCTGGCCGACGTCATGAAGAGCATCATCTCCTTCAACAACAAATGGATCAAGAACGGCATGATCGCGCAGCGGTATGCCAACGTCTCCCAATCATCACACATATTATTTTATTTTATGTGCCAATCAGCTGACGTCGCTCCACCACCACAGCGAGTTGTTCAACTGGGTGTGGCGAGACTTCCCGCCGCATCTCCACCCGGCGTTGCTGCGCATGTTCGAGCGGTTTCAGGTGCGTCTGCGTCTGCTCAACTCTCCTCTCACCAGGACAACTCGCAATCGCTGACACAACACACGCCGCACACGACGCACGACACGCAACGCGATACGACACACGGCAACAACTGCAGATTTTGTTCCAAATGCGCGTCGAGCAGGTCAAGCACCAGGAGGGAGCCGACGAGGAGCCGCCGAAGTCGGAAGAAGGCGCTGTGAGTGGTCCCAAGGGCAAGCTGTTCATGGTGCCCTCGCTCCTGCCCGAGGACTGCCCGGCCAACGAGCTGGCCAAGGAGTGGCCCGAGGTGCGCGGCGACGACGTCACGGCTGAGTTCGGCCGCGTCTACGACCTCGGCGACTTCGTGCCCATCGGCCTCTTCGCGCGTCTTATCGTGCGCGTGCTTCACATTCCGGACCTGAAGCTCATCCTGGCCTGGCGCTCGGGCATTCTCGTCGAGCTCACCCGCCCCGGCGCGACCGACGACGCGCCGCCCGTGGTCGAGCGCGCCCTCATCCGGCAGCACTCGCGGCCCAGCTACCTGTTCGAGCTGCTCGTGCGCACCAACAGCTCGACCGCTCTTGCGTCGCAGAGTGGTCAAGACGCTGACAAGTCGGCGGCGGGCAAAATGGGCGCCGACGCCAAGGGCAACCTGATCGCGTCGAGCCTGCTGCGCATCAAGTCCATCAGCCTGTGGCGCATGGCCGATGGCGAGGGCTCGAGCCCGCTGTCCACCCTGCGCCGCAGTAAGATCCGCCCGCCGTCGTCCATGTCGCAGACCAGCGCCGTTGGCAGCAGCTGCGGCGGCAGTAGCTTGTCGTCGAGCGAGGCCGAGAGCGACAGCAGCCAGCAGGGCGACGACGGCAACAGCTCCGCGTCGCCGCCGCTGCGGCAGAGCGCCGACGACGAGATCCTGCAGGTCGACCTGCTCGAGCACCTGGTCTACGTGCTCGACGTGCTGTTCCAGGGCTACGTCGGGCTCGAGGTGCAGAAGCGCGTGCCGTGCCTTGCGATCACCCGGAAGACCGGCAAGGTGTGTCGCCACGCTTTCGAGTATGCCGAGTGCATCGAGGCCGTGATGGGCGCACGGCCCGTGCGCTGCTCGTCGCACCGCGGCACGCCGATCTCGGTCGCCCGTCTGGCGCCGGACATCGCGATGGGCTCGGTGCGGCTCATCGGCGAAGACGAGCTGCGCAAGCACAACCGCGTGGGCAAGGGCGGATTCGGCGAAGTCTACAAGGCCACCTGGAACAACTCCACCGTCGCCCTCAAGCTCCTCATCGTTCGTTCTCCCCTCTTCGTGCGGCGATTGTGTCTCGTTCCAAAGACTTACCTATGTTCGCACAACACGCACAACACGCACAACACGACACACACGACACACTGCAGAGGATCAAGGAGGAGGACAAGGAGGAAGACGCCAGAAAGTTCGACGAGTTTAGGCGCGAGGCTTTCCTCATGAGGTGAATAATCATAATCCACATTCCTGGCAATTACCTGACAATCAGTCAGCCGATACTGACGAGCGTGGGTGCGTGCACAGTTCCCTGCAGCACGACTATGTGATCAGGCTGTTCGGCATCTGCCACCACCCGCTGGGGATGGTGATGGAGTTCGCCGGCGCCGGCGATCTCTACCACTTTCTGGACAACCAGCAGAAGGGCCTCGTGCGGCAAACCTACTCGCCGGCCGTCCACAGGTACCCGTTGCCCGAGGGCGCGCAGGTGCTCGACCACCTCCAAAAGGGTACGCAAGCACCACACGACATACGACACACGACACTATAGCGTCGTGGCCGAGCAATGAATGTTGATGGAATGCAGGCGAGAAGGTGGGCGTGAAGCGGAACGATCCGCGGGAGGAGCGCGGGTGGTGCGAGGTCGAGACGCCGCACGGCGAGAAGGGCCTCTTCCCCAAGGAGTGCCTCCAGCTCTCCAAGGCGCCGCTCACCGACGAGCAGATCCCGTGGGCCCTGCGCTGGCGCATCGCCCTCGACGTGGCCAAGGGGATGAACTACCTGCACTCCTTCCAGCCGCCCATCGTGCACCGCGATCTCCGCTCCCCCAACGTCTTCGTACGCCTCTCCTCGCTCACCATCGGCGACCGATGAGGCGACTTGTGTGTGTGCGCGCGCAAATGGTGCAGCTTGGCTGAATGCTTCGTGCACGAATGGTGCAGCTTATGAGCACGAGCCTGGACGCGCCGATCGTGGCCAAGGTGGGCGACTTTGGTCTGGCGCGACATACCGACCCGAGCCTGGACGAGGGCCTGCGCACTTGGCAGTGGCTCGCGCCCGAGGTGCTGAACCTCGAGCACGTCGAGTACGATGAGCGGTCCGACGTGTACAGGTGCGTACCCTTTGCTTTTGACTCCGAGCTTGAGCAGTTTTAACTCCGATGTTGTGTTTTTGCCCACACATGTACAGCTTTGGCATCGTGATGTACGAGATCGCCGCGCGCAAGTTGCCCTTCGTGGACGAGTACTGGATGAGGTTCCAGCGTAACGGCTACTTCCAGGCCAGGGACTGCATCAACGCCATCATCCACGACGACTGTCGCCCGACTCCGCCCGGACCCGACCACTGCCCGCCCGAATTCGCTCAGCTCATGCTGGTACCCACCGCCCATCGCGCCCCTCTCCGCTCGTGTTGGTCGACGTCATGTGGTTTCGGTGAGAGTCACCAAGCTAACGAGGCCGCGCCTCTTTTGCTTGACTTGGGTGCGCACAGGACTGCTGGCATACCAATCCGAGCGATCGGCCCACGTTTGCGCAGATCGTCGATCGCATCAGCAAGCAGGTACCCGAAGCCTTCGCCTCGCCGCGAGAGGCCCGCGCGACGATCGACGAGTGAGCGTGGCCACAAGACGTCCCAGAGGGCCAGAAAAAAGAGAAGAAGGGGCTGGTGTGGTGGGTGTTAGGACCTGCTCTAAGAGTAAAGTGGGTCTCGTTATTTACCGACATAATTTGGTGGCGCAACACGCCATAAAGGACAATATTATTACATCCGTGCGCACACAGCGCCACCGTCCGCCCGATCTCTTCGCGTGGCTTGCAATTGCACCTTCCGCGGGTTCACAGGCAAGCCAGCAAACAGCCGTGGTGGTGCCCCTCCACTTCACCAGGGCCAGGCAAAAAGAAGGAAGAGCGACACGACTGTCGTTCTTCTTTTCTTTGGGCGCGTTCCATTTTTCTTTGGGCTGACGGCGACGAGCCTAAACCTCACCCCGAAGAGAGAACGAGCGAGAGGGAGAGTCGCACGTCCCTCATGGCAGCGTTGGCGTCGAGCAGTGGGGGCATAATAGCAGGGGGCGGAGAGATGGATGTGGATGAACCGCGGCTCGTGCAGGCCTTGAAGACTGGCAATCTCAAGGCCGTAGATGACATTATTGCCGGAAGCGCATCCCTCACAATCAACTCTCTACTCAGCAATCAGGTTCGTTACTCCACTTTCCCCATCTTTCTTTCGCGTGAAAATGGGAACTCCCACTCCAAACGAAATCGAAAAGATTTCTTTTTCTAATCAACGGCTACACGCCTTGCATTCATTTTGCATTCAAACACAGAGCGCGCCTCTTTCCCCCTCTAGCTCTGCGCCCTCCACACCGGCTTCTCAAGAGGTACCCCCCCCCCATATGCAACGCCTCATCTTGGCTACGTAATCGCACAGCAAACCGCGAGGATCTCACCCCGTATGGATTTCCTTTTCGACCTTTCCTTTTTACCCTTGCTGCATCCACGCAGAAGGTACGCACCGCCAGCCCTGCTTGCCCCCCCCCCCGCTGCACAACAACACACTTGCCCATCGTGTTCACAACCACATCCCACCCCAGCAACCAACTTTTTGTGTTCACCTTCTATGGGCATGTAAACGATCATAAGCAAACCCGCTCGACTGATTGGTTGTTGTTCATGACTCCACTATGCATAGTGTACGCCGTTGTATCTCGCGTGCGCCGAGGATGCGGACAATGTGGAGGAAATCGTTCGCGCGCTCCTGGCGAAGGGCGCCGACGTCAACAAGCCATCCGTACGCCTTTCCCTCTCATCGATGGGTCGTTTGCGTGTTTGTTGCTCTCTCCACCCGACCGCGACTAACCGCGATCCCTCTCATGTGATCCGTTTCCTCTCTACTACGCAGTTGGTACGCGCTCCACGCACACACCTCTCCTTCTTCTGGAGGCTCTTCGCCCCTTTTCGCTTCTTGGACTGAAGTCGCATCGCGTGTTGTGGTCTGACGTTGTACGATCGATGGTCGGTGAACGCAGGTGGTGCGTGTCCCTTTCACACACACACCACACACCACACACCAGTTAGCTTGGCTGCAGTGAGCGTATGGCTAACGCTTGATGTCGTGGCATTGTGATCGACAGGAGGTACGCGCGGCAGCCTGTGCCACATGCGGTTTTGTCGTGTGTGTGTGTGTGTGTGTGAAACAGAGATGTGAACGGCAAACTGACGTTAACCCATCCTCAACTCTTCTGCGGTGTTTGGTCTGCCGGCCACCTAGATGGTACGCTCACACTCCTTCTCCCTATCAACACAAGCTAATTGAGACTAGCACGAATCAATGGCCTCAATGTTGGTGTTCATGAACGTGTTTCAACTATCACTCACTCTCACCCGTGGGCTCCCTTTCTGCAGAAAGTACGTCGGATGAGCGGCACTGTCTCTTCTTCCTCCTCCTCCACAACTAACCTTTTCCTTTGCACGCTCGCGCTCTTCCGATCATTTGATCTTTCTCACAGGATGAGGTACTTCCCTCCCTTCACTCGCAAGTGGACTGCGTTTCTCTCGCACATTCTCTGACCATTTCTTCTCCTCTGTCCGCCGTTTTACTTTGCCTTGCGGCCTCTTCGTTCTGTTCTTGATGGCACACCAACGTAGTTTGTACGTATCTCCCTCCGATTGGGTCAATGCACTATTGGTCACCACAGCTGTAAAGTGCTCATTCTCATTTTATTTTCTTTTATTTATTTCCCATCGGTCCATACAGGATGTACGTTTGCCTCCCCTTCCCGTCCTCCCACTTGCGGAAGCCGCGGCGTTCAATCCATGGACTAACGGGTCGACACCAACTCTTTGTCCCTCTCTGCCGGCCTTCTACAGGACGTGGTCGTACGTACTTCCGCACGCGCGAGCGCACACACCGCACACACACACCAATGTTCGACGTGTATACTAACTCGAACCTTTAACCCCCCCCCCGGACACAATCGACATGTACAGAATGCGGTACGTGGGCGCTCTGACGTCGGATCACTCCTGCCTTTCTTATCTCATCAACGCGTGGTGGCCGTGTGTGCATAGCTGGCTTTGGGCGCGGCGTCAACCGATGCGGTGGGCGGAGGCGGCAAGAAGGTGCCTTCTGTTTAACTTGTTATCGTTATGATCATCACATGCTGCTGACCCCCTGTCTGCCCCGCTTGGTCACGTACCCGGTCTGCCTTCTTTGATGTTCCCAACGCCCAGCTTGTACGTCTTCTCGTTCTCGTTTTCGAGCCTTCGCCATTCTTCAACTCCGATTGTGTCTTTTGCTTTGTGGTATTTACTGACACCACCCTCGGGGCATACAGGAGGTACGTGTTGGTGCTTGAGAGACATTGGCTTCTCCTGGTCCCTCATCTTACCTGTCCCCTTCCCCCTCCGGCGAACCCATTTCCCTCTCATCCGCTATCATCACAGAATGTACGCATCCATTCTCGTCCTTCCATTCGCCAATAATTCGGACAACAGCTCATCTGGCGCGTGCGTGGGTGTTTAAATTTACAGGAGGTACTGTTAGGCCCGACTGCTGCCTTGGCTGTTCTAAGATGGGCTCTCACCTACACCACCCTGCTCCTAATGCTGATGCCGCTCGCAGCTCCCGCTGGATGCCGCGACACACAACCGGAATCTGGAGCTCTCCTTGCTGCTGCTCGATAGCGGGTCCAAGATGACCGCCAAGGTCCTTGCTGCCTCGCCTATTTGTGTGTCGTGTGTGTGGTCGTGTGTGTCGCATGTTGCTTTCTTCACGCATGAACCACGCCTAACACCCAACGCACGCAGTCGGCTGGACGACTGCGCAAGCTGAAGCAGCTGAGCCTGGCGGGCAGGGGCCTCACAACGGTGCCGGCGTGGCTCGAGGAATTCAAGGGCCTGCGCCAGCTGGACCTGTCCGACAACAAGCTCACCGCGCTCCCGTCGTTCCTGGCCAGCATCAAGGGCCTCGTCAAGCTCGACATCTCTGGCAACCCACTCGAGTCGATTCCCTCCGAGGTCAAGGGCGGCTCGCTCAAGGGCATCCTCGTCTACCTCCGGCAGCTTGCCAAGTCGCAGGCCAAGTGGGCGCGGATCAAGCTGATGCTGGTGGGCAAGGAGAACGTGGGCAAGACCACGCTGCTCCACTGCCTCACCACGCTGCTCCACAACCCCAAGGCCGCCAAGAAGTCCGCCTCCGATTTCTTCGCCGCAACCGCCAAGGGCAAGAAAGTTCCCTCACACCTCAGGTACCGTGTTGTTGTGTGCGCACGTGCGTCGTGTGTCGTGTGTGTCGTGTGTGCCGTGCGTGGACTGACAGGGTTGGCCTTGTACAGGCATATGCCGCTGAGCACGGACGGCATTGGAATGGGCGAGTTGTCGACGAGCGCTTGGGTGGCCGCCCGGCGCAAGGGCAAGACCGACCCGGTCACCTTCCAGACATACGACTTTGGCGGGCAGATGGTGTTCTACCCGACGCATCAGCTCTTCCTCACCGCCCGATCCATCTACCTGGTCGTGTTCAACGTCGTCGAGGACGACCGCAATCATGTACTTTATTGGCTCAAGCAGGTACCTGACCACGACCAACCCGCCCACACACGCCCACGCACCACCGCACACACGCACATGCCCGCGCACAGCGGGGAGTTGCCCACACACGCGCCACCGCACACGCCGCACGCACACGATGGCTGACGGACATCATGGCGTGTCTATAGGTGCGAGCGTCGACCAAGGGAAATGAAACGCCCATCATCGTGGTGGGCACACACATCGACCACCCCGACTGTCCCAACGCGCAGGCACTCACCACCATCGGCAAGCAATTGCAGCGGTATGCATCACACACCTGTGTTTCCGTTAATGTGTGCGCGCTTGTCCAGGTCAGTGACTGACGCGAGTTGGCCAACGCAGAGAGGAGCGATGGGTGCGGAAGGTGTGCTACGTCAGCTGCAAGTCGGGCGATGGCCTCGAGGAGCTCATGGAGTCGATTATCGATTTGGCCAATCAGCACAGCTTCCTCAAGCAGCTCATCCCCGGCAGCTACTACACGCTGCACCAGACCATCACCAACCTACGCACCGGTACCACCCGCGGCCCTCATTTCATTCTTCGCATTCCTGAAGTGCAACGACCCTCGACTGACGCCACGTCATTGTCGGTGAGTGCAGGCAAGGTGCAGGTTGACGCCCCGAAGTTGCCTGGCAAGAGCGACGAGGCTGACGAAGCGGACGAACAGCACCAAGCGGGGTTCAGCACGGCGTACGGGGCGGACAGAGTGGACTCGCAGTCCAGCCAGGTGCTGCGGTGGACCACCTGGGACCACCTGGTCAAGCTGGCCCAGGGCTGCGGCATCAACAGCGAGGAGCTGGTCGAGGTGGCGCGCTTCCTGTACGACGCCGGTACGCTGGTGCACTTCGACGACGCGTTCAGCGGGCTGCAGGATCTGGTGGTGATCGACCCGCAGTGGCTGGCCGACGTCATGAAGAGCATCATCTCCTTCAACAACAAGTGGGTCAAGAACGGCGCCATCACACAACGGTACGACCCGTCCTGTGCGCGTGCGTGTGCGACGAGCTCCTGACGTGTGCGTGTGCGTGTGCGTGCGGTTAACAGGGAGCTCTACAATTGGGCGTGGCGAGACTATCCGGCCAACATCCGTCCGGCGCTCCAACGAATCTTCGAAAAATTCCAGGTATGGCCACACTCGCAAGCGCATCGGTCCATTGCTTTGTTATGCGCCATTAACATTGTTTGCTGTCGCCGGTGTCAGATCATCTACCACCTGCGACTGGACCACATGCTGCAAGAGGAGGAGACGACCAATGGAGAGGCGGAAATGGAGAAAGAGAAGGAGAAGGAGAAGGTCGAGAAGCGGTTTATGGTGCCCAGTTTGTTGCCGGAGGACCCGCCCGAGGAGGTACTCAACAGGGCCTGGCCGCCGAACAAGTGCGAGGACGTCGCCGAATACGCCCGCATCTACGAACTCAATGACTTCATCCCCATCGGCCTCTTTGCGCGTCTCATCGTCCGCATGATGCACATCCCCGGTACCTCCTCACTTCGTTTCGCTTTCGCTCTTTCTTTTTATTTTTTATTATTATTATCATTAACTTGTATTTCTTTATTTGTTGATAAACTGTAATTTTCTAATTTATTACGCCTGGTGTGAATTGATTGTTCGTAGGAGTGCGGCTGCTGGTGGCATGGCGAACGGGAGTGGTGGTCGAGGCGGATTTGCCGTCGTCATCGGGTCGATCCGATGATAAGCCGGCCACCTACCAGGCGCTGGTGCGGCAGTTGGACAAGCCCGAGTACAAGATCGAAGTGCTCGTGCGAGCGACGGGTGGCGCGCACTCGGGGGCCGACGGTGACGGCAGCGAGCGCAAGAGCGTCGACGAGGGCATCAAGCGGGACAAGGGCAAGGACAAGAAGAAGCAGCAGGAGCAGGGCGAAGACGCCACCGACGAGCAGGGCAAGGAGAAGAACATCTACAAATCTACCGAGCAGAAGCTCTTCAGCAGCGTCCTTCAGGGAGTGGATAAGACGACGGAGACGCGAGACAAGGACCGCGGCGGAGAGAAGGTGTTCCTGCTGGAGCAGGTGATCTACCTCATCGATGTGCTTCTTCAGGGCTACACGGGCCTCGAGGTCTCCCGAAAGATTCCCTGCATCCTCCCCTTCCCCGACACACCCGAGCGCCGCTGCAGCCACCTCTTCACCTATGCCGGTACGCTCTTCTTCGCTCTTTTAGCTCCGAAAGTCTCTTTTCTTCTTTCTTCTTTCGTTTTTGATTGAGGTGTTTCTTTTACTGACCGCGAGAGCGTGCCGCAGACTGCGTGGAATCGGTGATGCTGGGCCGGCGAGTCGAGTGCCCCATCCACGGGACGTCGATCAGCGTGCACCGCCTGGCGCCAGATCTGGCCATCGGGTCGGTGCGGTTCATCGAGGATTCGGAGCTGCGCAAGGGCAACCAGATCGGTCAGGGTGGCTACGGTCTCGTCTACAAGGCCTCCTGGAACAACACCCCCGTCGCCCTAAAGCTCCTCATCGTCAAGGTATAGTATCATGCCAAGCACGCCCTGTTTTACGTCGAGTGCGGTGGTGCGTGTGCGTGTGCGTGCGTGCGTGCGGTTCTAACGTCACATTCATTTGGTTTCATTAGCACCAAGATGAGGAACTCGAGGAGCGGGAAAAGCAGAGCACCAAGCACTACGATGAGTTCAAGCACGAGGCCTTCCTTATGAGGTATGCGCCTCGCCTGTTGAATGCAAAACATGTTGGTTGAGGCCGGACTGATGATGAACCCTCGGCTTGGCTTGGAAAACAGTTGCCTGGAGCACGAAAACGTGATCCGGCTGTACGGCATTTGCTACAACCCGCTGGGCATGGTCATGGAGTTTGCCGGCAACGGCGATCTGCACGACCTCCTCGAGAGCCTCCAGAAGGGCAAGGTCAACAAGGACCCCTACTCACTCCGTACCGCCTCCCTCCCTGCGCCACACATTTCTCCCCGCTTGGCCGCGCGCGGCCTCGAACTGACTGTGATCATGCGACGCATGCGGCAGAATCGGGCAAGCACCGGCTGTTGCCCCTGAAGGCGGGCGATTCGGTGATCATTCTGGGCAAGAAGAAGAAGACCGACCTCTACGAAGTGGAAACCATGTACGGCGAGAAGGGACTCTTCCCCAGCGAGCTCATCGACCTGGGCAAGGTATCGTGACCTGGGCATCCCTCCGCCCCAACTGCGCTGTGGGGCAGCTCCTTGACGCCAAGGAGCTCACGGTGTCTCACGCCAATGCTGGCTCGGTGCAGGCGCCGCGCAAGGACGAGCAGATCCCGTGGGCCCTGCGCTGGCGCATCGCCCTCGACGTGGCCAAGGGGATGAACTACCTGCACTCCTTCCAGCCGCCCATCGTGCACCGCGATCTCCGCTCCCCCAACGTCTTCGTACGCCTCTCCTCCGCCACCTCATCTCTCCAGCTTATGCTGGACCCACTCCGATGACGCAACTCACACTCGCCTCGTTCACACTCCGGGTTCGCAGCTGACGGCGTTCGAGTCCGACGCCAAGACGGTGGCCAAGGTGGGCGATTTCGGTCTCGCTCGCCACGTGGACCCGCGGCTGCACGAAGGCTTGCCCACGTGGCAGTGGTACGCGTACCGCGGAAGCCCGCAGTTCAAAGCAAATGGCTGGTGTAACTGATCTCTTGATCGTGCGTGCCAACGATAGGCTAGCACCCGAAATCCTGGATCACGAGAACACCGAATATGACGAACGATCAGATATCTACAGGTGCCTTCTTCACCACCTTCTTCTTCTTCTTCGTTGATTTCTCACTCTAGGGTGGTGTGCACACAGCTTTGGCATCGTGATGTACGAAATCGCGTCGAGGAAGCTGCCCTACACCGAGGAGTACTGGGACCGCTTCCAGAGGAACGGGTACTTCCAGGCGAAGGACTGCCAGAACGCCATCGTCAAGGATCAGTGCCGCCCCACCCCGCCCGCCGACTGTCCACCCGAATTCTCCAAGCTCATGCAGGTACGGCACAAAATTCCGCGCGCCACTGTGATCCTCCGTAATCTGGCGCTTGGGAAATGTGCGTTTGCGTTGATCTCACGTTTGGGCTTCTTGTGCCCCCTCCGCAGGCCTGCTGGGCGCACAACCCGCACGACCGGCCGTCGTTTACGCAGGTGGTGAAGACGATCAGCGCCTACATCGACTCTTCCGCTCAGCCCCGGCTTTGAGCCCCACCGCAAGCACAGGGCCGTCGGCCGACGACTTTTCTCCGACGCCACGGACCGTGGCCAAGTGGCCAACAGCACGCGGCACCCAACCGGAGATTAAGGCTTCTCCTTTTTCGCTGGAGTATGCAGGGAATTTTGCGGTTTCCGGGCAACGCTAATCGTTCGGTAGATTCTTGGTTGGTGGATGGACCGATTAAATATTCCGTGCCTTGGAAATTTCGTTACTCTCCAAATTTCCAGGTAGACGGAGCTACGGTTGCGACGATGTCTGTTCGGGCCTCAAAAAAGCGGCAAAATTCTGAGCGCAGCTGAACTTTCCATTTCAACCAAAGCGCTCGTTCCCGCCGAGAGAACTCACAGCCCGCGTAGGCCACCCACCAGGTATCCCCGCGCTCATGATGTGGTTGTTTTACGTGAGGGATTCATCGTGCAAATAGGAACATGGGAGCTGGGCTTGCTGCATCTTTGAAAATGTCCATGAATTTGTTGTTAATTTATCCCCCCCCGCAGTATACTCGATTTCGGAGATCGGTAGCAAAGGCTGGCTACCCTCGAAGCGGCCTCCGGCGTCGCCCCCAGATTACACAACAGCACCACCATTCACAGCAATCGGCCGAGAGGATCGAGGAGTTCGCCCCCGGCTCTCTCTTCATCAATGGGCGTAAGGCGCAAGCTCGTCTTCACCTTCGTACGACATGGCGAGACAGATGAAAACGCGCACAAGATCCTTCAAGGGTCGAAGCACACACCCCTCAACGAGGCTGGACGCGAGCAGGCCCGCCGCCTCGGTGTTCGCCTGCAGAGGGAGCACGAGAGCACCAGCAAGGGGCGGATTGGATCCTCTACCTGCACGAGAGCCGGCACTTTGCAAGCTCAAGAACCTCCCTTCCACTTCATCTTCTCCTCCAACAACCCAAGAGGTCCGCTTTTCCTCCGACCTCCCGACCTCTTGACCTCCCCTTCAAGATTTCAATGGGAGATTTCGCGCCAAATGCGATTCCTCGAATTTTCCATTCTCCTTAGCTTTGTTTTGGCCCAGTCTTGAGCTCACGCTTCCCTTCCTTCTGTGCCTGCAGCGAGCGAAACGTCTGAGATCGTGGCAGATCAGCTTTCGCTACCAACGCCAGCACCTTCTTCGGCCCCCTCGCCAACATGGGGCCAAGTGGTGGCAACTCCGCTCCTCACCGAGAGAAGCCTGGGAGCGTACGAGGGTCGCCGATCGGAGCAAGTGCTCGACGAGTTCGGCAGGCTCAGATGGGATCACCTCCCTGAACCCCGCATGATGGGCCTTTGGGACATCATCGCTGAGGAATCCTCATGTACGTTTTCCGCTCCTTTCCTGCATGCGCTCCGATCGTCCTGGAACCCTAACGTACTTGACGCGTGTGCACAATGCAGCGAATCAAATGGGCGTTGAATCGAAGTTCGAGTTCCTCAGCAGAGCGCAGAGGGCGATTCAATTCATGATTGCCCACATCGTGTCGTACCTCACGCACTTTGTGTCTAGAAATGCCATCCCCGAGATAAGAGTCCTGTGCGTCTCGCATGGTACGCGCTTCTCTCCTGGGCCTCTCTTCGTTTTCCTTTATGCGGCTCTCGGTGTCTGCTGCCTGTGTTGGGGTTGTGGATGGAGCCTCGCTGGGCCTTGTCGCTGGTGGCCACGAATCATTTCGTCGCGCCGGTAGGGAGGTGGTCCATGCGTGGGACGGGGGACGAGGTGGAAGTGGCCACACCAGGCATCTCTCTATTCTCTCTTCGTTGTGCTCTGCTCTCCTCGCTGCTCACATTTTTATGTCTTCTTCTTTGGCAGCACTGTTCATTCGCGCCCTGCTTACCCAGCTGCTCAACATCGGAACCGAGTGGATCATGAACGTGGGAAGCAAGGAGCCAACAAACTTCCGGTGGTTCGCGTGCGATATTCGCAACGCCTCCGTCACCCGAGTGCAGACCGAGTTCGTGATCTACGATGCCAAGCGCGGACGCAACGACGATGAAGGCACGGGCGGCCTCATCGGCGGAGGCGAGAAGAAGCAGGAGTCACTCAAGAAGAAAGTACGGCTCATGAATCCGTTCCTGATCTGCCTCAACGACAGCAGTCACTGCTTCCTCGACTTCACTACCGTCAGCAACGCCTGAGGGCAACCCCTTCCATCCGCCATCATCATCCTCCTCTCTCTTTCCCGCGGCCCGCGCTACATCGCATACTGGTAGTTGTAGCCTCGCCGTTCACCGTGCTCTTGCCTTGGTTGGGCCAAGCACACACGCTTTTATTGTGTTATAAATAAAATCCATAATCAAAGCTTTGCGGGGCAGGTGCCCACCTGTGGGCCAAAGCAAAGTGAGGAGAAGCATGCATGAAGAAGCTTGCACAAAGGGTGCTGGAGCAGATCAAGTACTTGGACTACATGACCAAGTATTGGGCTGCCACCCCATCCCTTGCTGGCATGTGCTTTGACAGCTACACATGCAGAGTGGGCCATGAGCTGGTTGAGGAACATGCAGACTGAACAGGAGGGCAAGTCAAGCAACGGCATCAAATGGTTGTCACCTGTGTCAGCAGTCCATCACTTGTGGACCTTTATATCAATCATGTATAACTTGACCGTCTTCTGCAAGGGAAGGGGTGTGCCTGAAGTATCTTGTGCCAGCGGGCGGGTGGCAAAATAAAAATTAGAGGTAAAATAAAAATTTCATAAATAATAATGCCGTAAAAAAAGATGTGAAAAACAAATTCTCTATCTATTTTATTTTTATTTTGTTCGTACCTGCAAGATGGAGGAGGGCTGTTGTGTGTCGGCGCCGGGGAAGGTGCTGGTGGCGGGCGGGTACCTGGTCACGCTTCGGCCCCACCCGGGCCTCGTCTTCTCCGTCTCGGCTCGGCTCTACGCGGCCGTCGGGCCCGCTGCTGCACCCGCTTCATCTCCGGCGACCCTCAACGGCGGAGCGGACCAGAACGAGTTCGGGCTGGTGGTCGACTCGCCGCAGTTCCGGAAGACCTTCCGCTTCAGCGCCGCCCTTGCCGCCGCCGACGGCAGCAGCGAGCCCCACCTTCTCCTCCGCAACTCGTACGTAATTATAATAAGTTATAAACCATTTCCTTTTTTATTTTTATTTATGCATTTTATTTATTTGTTTATTTATTTATTTACTGGTGTTTGTGTGCAGGTCGGGTGAGGCGAACGAGTTCATCGAGACGACGCTGGTTTCGGCGCTGACGGCCGGCGTGGGTCTGCTGGGCGTCGACAGCTTCCGGGTTTGCCTCCGAAGCTTCACGTGGTCACAGCAGCGGCTTGTGCGATGTGTGTGCGTGCGACGGGCGAATCTGACCGCTCACTGCTTTGCTTTTGGTGCAGGCGCGGATGGGCGCGGGCGTAGTGGTGACCATCCTCGGCGACGCCGCCTTTTACTCCGCACCTGAGACGCCCGAGTCAGGTAGGCATCTGGATGTGTGCGTGTGCGATTGTGTGTGCGTGCGGTGCGTGCGTGTGTGTGTGTGCGCGCGCGCTTCCAGTTTGTACCAGTCCTCCTTGATTGATTTCCACTGCGCAGAGCCCAAGAAGACCGGTCTGGGGAGCTCGGCCGCGTTGGTATCCTCGCTCGTGGCCGCTCTGCTGTCGTATCTGGGCCTCCTCGACCTGTCTTCCGCCGCACCAGGTCCTCCCCGTCCGCTGCTTTCAACCCATCGGCGCCCCACGCTTCGATCAATAAACTGATCGGGTACCCCGCGTACGCGCAGACGTGTCGCGGCTGCAGCTGGCGCACAACCTGGCGCAGTACTGCCACTACAAGGCGCAGGGCAAGATCGGGTCGGGCTTCGACGTGTCCTCGGCCGTCTTCGGCAGGTGAGCCACCCACGGTTGCGGTGTGTGTGTGAGTGAGTGCCTGCCTGTGCGTGTGTGTGCGTGTGTTTTCGAGTTCTGACACCGCCTGTGGCACCAGCCAAATCTACACGCGGTTCTCGCCCGACGTGCTGCTCGCCGTTCCTGCGCTCCAGCTGGCCGTACGTCATCATCTTCGCCAAACCCGCTCTTTATATACATATATAGAGATATATATATATAGAGAGAGATATATATATATATATAGATCTATTTCATGTGTGGTGGTGTGCCTCATGATCGTCATCGTGGTCATGTATGTGTGCTTGTCGGTCCAGGAAGGCGAAGTGGGTCAGGGCGTGATGGCCTCGCCAACGACCCCGGCCAACATGGTCGCCATGCTCAACTCCCCGCTCTGGTACGTTCCCTTTCAGGCCCGCTGCACGCGTGAGTGTGTGTCATGTGTCGTGTCGTGTGCGGTGCGGTGCGGTGCGGTGCGGTGCACATGGTGCGTGTGCGTGTGCGTGTGCGCGAGTGGTCTCACCAGACACAATAGGGACTCCAAGGCGGAGAGCCTGCAGCTGCCCCACGGGATGCACCTCCTGCTGGGGGACATCTCGGTGGGCGCCAAGACGCCGGGCATGGTCGCCGCCGTCGACCGGTGGCGCCACGCGCTCAAGGACCAGGGCAAGCTCGGTACCTGCGCCACGCCGTGGCCTTCCATCGTTCCTCAGATTGGCTCACACAGAACCCGTGTGCGGTGGTGCGTGTGCGTGTGCGTGCGTGTGCGGTGGGTCTATGAGGGATCAGATGACTCGGCGTGGACTCGGCTGGCTGGCCTGAACGCGCAGATGATCGGCCACTTCCGGCGGCTCAACGCCCTGGCCGACGAGCGACGGGCGGCCTACGAGTCCACCCTCGAGCGCCTGGCCGCTCTCCCCGCCGACCAGGTGCCCATTCATGCGTGCATTCCGGACATTCTTCTTCAGCTAAGCTCACCACCGCACACGCACGCGCAGTGGCGAGCGCAGGGCGACGGTGCGGATGAAGTGGTCGTCACGCAGCTGCTGGCCCTCCGCGCGGCCCTGGTCGAGGTGCGCAGGAACCTGAAGCTGATGGGCGACCTCTCCGGCGCCGCGATCGAGCCCGACGTGCAGACACAGGTGTGCGACGCCACCATGGCCTTGCCCGGCGTCCTCCTCGCCGGCGTACCCGGAGGTCCGTCGCAGCTGCCCCTCACTCGAGTCCCCCCCCCCCTAAATTGGCGCCACTCACTCCCTTCACGCCCATCAGCTGGAGGCATGGACGCCCTGTTCGCCGTGGCCCTGGGCGCGACCGCACAAGCTGCCGTATGCCCTCTCTCGCCAGCGCGCGCGGGTGTGTGTGTAGGCGTGTGTGCGGTGTGTGGGGTGGTGCGAAAACTGACCAGGTGGCTACAACAAACAGGTGCAGGAGTTGTGGGCGAGTCGTGGTATCTCACCGCTGCTGCTGGAGGAGGACCACAAGGGTCTCTGCGCCCACTCCATGGCCTACTTTGCCGACCTCCGGCGCCGTAGCGTGCCGAACTCGGCCTCCTCGTGAACCCCTTGCTGCCGCCCCACCACCCTGCGATTTTGTCCTTAGTCACCTAAAACTACACTCTTCGTTCTTTCTTTGCCTCACGACAACAACAACAACAACTAGGATTACATTCGATTACATTGATGTCGCCTAACCGCTCATGCGCTGCCAGCATTCAGTGTGCCTGTGACACGACACGACACACACGATCAATGACGCGCAGGTGTGGCACGCGCACAAAGAGAACGGTGAATAATGGGGGCGTGAGAAGGTACCACTCCTTGGCGACGATGGTAACGGTCGCGCGGCCGGCGAGAGTGGCGCCGCATCCCGGGCAGCGCACCTGCTCCCACGTCTTCTTGTGCTGCACCGGCGCCGCGCCGTAGTCGCCCGCCATCCCGCTTCCGCCGCCGTAGCGGGCCGCCGGCGCGCTCACCGGCACACTGCCGCCGCTGCCGTAGCGCGAGGGCTGGGCCGCATTCACCGGCACACCCGCACCGCCGCCCGTGTAGCCCCGCGACACGCCGGGCGACGACGCCGGGCTGCCGCCGCCGTAGCGAGCCGGCGAGCTGGCGTTCACTGGAACGTTGCCTGCGCTGCCGCTGCCGTAACGCGAGGCCGCATTCACCGGCACGCCGGGCGACGATGCCGGGCTGCCGCCGTAGCTACGCGACACGCCGGGCGAGGAGGCCGGGCTGCTGCCGTAGCTGCGGGCCGCGGTCTTGGGCGACGAGGCCGGGCTGGCTCCTCCGGTGTAGCGCGAGGGCTGGGCGGCGTTGACTGGCACGCCCGCGGCGGAGGTCGAGCTCACGCCGTAGGCTCCGGAGGGCGCCGCGCGCACTGGGACACCACCCGACGAACCGCCACCGCCGGGCGTCGGGCTGCCGCACGACTGACAGAACCTCGCCGTCGCACTCGGTATCGACGATCCTGGTTTTTTTATTTTAGGTTATTACATTTATTTTATTATTTGAAAGTCTATCTTAAAATAAAAATGCTGCATTTAACTTTAGAAATTAGAATAACTATTCACAACGTCGGTTTTGTTTTGGAAGCGTAGCGGAGAGAGTGGCGCACCACACTGGGAACAGAAAGGCATGGGTGGTGCAGCTTGCGTTGTGTTGTTTTCGAGAAGGGGTGCAAAGGAGGAAATGGCCGGATCTCTTAGCCGTAATATCCCGCTGTTCATCCAATCACAAAAGTAAATCCAAAAAAACACGGAAAAGGAAAGAAAATAAATAAAATTATTTATTTATCACATAAGCCCGCGAAGAGGTGGTGACGCGAAGGCGAAGCTCTACATGGACTCCTCGAGGTGGGCGACGCCGACCATGAGGCCCACGCCCAAGAGGAAGGCGAAGACCTCCTTAAAGGTCTGCTTGAACGACGAGTCCTGCAGCAGGTCCGGCAGTACATCGACCGTCGCGATGTAGATGAAGCCACCAGCTGCGCAGCCACACACGTTGCATTAAGGTGCGTGCGCGGTTGTATGGCGCGCGTGTGTGCGCCGTGTGTGTGTGTGTGTGTGCTGTGTGTGTGTGTGTGGTACGCACCGGTGAAGGGGAGGATGTAGTGGGTGGTGTTGCCGAGTCCGTGCTCGAGCAGCACGCCCAGCAGGCAGCCCATGAACGCGCCCACGGCGGTGGCGAACTGCGCCATCATCGCCTGGCGCCTCGAGAAGCCGCTCTGGAGCAGAATGGCAAAGTCACCTGCATCGCGCGGCCCCGCCCAGACAACCGTCAGCCCAAACGCAACAAGTATCGTGTTTGGTGGTGCGTGTGCGAGTGCGCGTGCGTGCGCGTGTGCGACTGAGACTGAGTACGCACCGATCTCGTGGGGGATCTCGTGCACCAGGACGGCGACGGTGGTGGTGATGCCGATGGGCGTGCTCACGAGGAAGGACGACGCAATGGCCAGGCCGTCGGTGAAGTTGTGGGTCATGTCAGCTGCACAGGCGGCGCACGAGCGCTTATCAGGCCCGGCGGTTCACTCAGGCATTGTGGGTGGGAGGAGGACGAGAGCGACCAGTCGACTGGTCGTCGCCGCACGACGTACCGGCAAGGTTGAGGAAACCGCCCACCTTGATGCCCTCCTCCACGCTCTCCCTCTTCTTCTTCTCCTTCTTGGCCTGCTCCTTCTCTTTCTTGTCGCTTGGCTTCTCGCTCTTCTTCTGCTGCTCGTTTCATGCACACGACACGACACACACACATGGCACACGACACGACACGCACGTTGGCGTCAGCATCATAATAATAACAATAAAAATAGTAATAGTTATGAGGCTGTATTCTTTGGGGAGGAGGTACCTGGGGCTTGGCACCGTGGGAGTGGCCGTGGCCGCCGCTACCGCCGTGGTTGCTCCGCACAAACTTTTCGACGATGAAGAAGGTCAGCAGACCGGCCAGCACGCCCAGCCCGACCACCATGGACAGGTCCTCCCCCTCCTCGTCCCCGTCGTGCGAGTGCGAATGGGAGTGCGAGTGCGAATGGCCGCCTTCGCCCGAGCCCGACGAGTGGAGCGCGTGCGGGATGAGGTGCAGGAACACGTCCGACAGCAGACCGCCCACGGCGAAGCTCAGCAGCACTACCATCACCATGTCGTCTGTCGTCAGCAATTACATCGCACACGCACACGCACACCACAATGGGGTGAGTACCTTTGAGGAGTGGCTGACGCTCGGGCGTGTGGTCGATGGGGATCATCGGGAGGATGAAGACCGGCGCGATGCTCACCAGCGCCGTCGCCAACAGCGCGTTCAGCTTCGCCCTGCGTGCGTTTCGTGCCGGTTCGTTGGTGGCGTTGTCAGTCGTCGACGTTCGTCGCAGATCAAGATGGCTCAAAAGATGAGACTTGTGGCTAAGTCTCATCTTTGTCTTTGAAGGAAAAGAAGAAGAGAGGGAGGGGGCGGACCTGGATTTGAAGGTCCAACCGGCCAAGTAATCCTCAAACGAAGAAGCGGCGGGCTGCTGGGCCTTCTGCTGCTCGTCCATCAAGCGCTCCAGTTCGGCGATGTCGTCATGCGCCTCGTGATTGTGGTCGTGATCATGGTCGTGGTCGTGATGGTGGTCGTGCGCATGGTCGTGGTCGTGGTCGTGCGAATGAGAGTGAGAATGGGAATGGGAATGCGAGTGCGAATGTGCTGCCCCGCCCCCGTGCGAATGGGAGTGGGAATGCTGTGCATCCGCCGCAACGAAGAGGAGGGCGACCAACACCACCAAGGCGGCCGCCACCACCGCAGCACGACCAGTTGCCTTCTTCATCTGAATCCTCTCCAGAAGGCGAGTGCTCTGAAAGAAAATAATGTACCCTTTGTTTCCTTTGCTTTATTTCTTTGGTGTTTTTGAAGATTGTTTTTTGATTTATTGTTTTGTTTACGAAATCTTAGATGAGCTTCAAAAGCCTATGTACAGAAGAAATAGATGGGAGATGGGCCGCACAGCCTCCTCGAATCACTGGGTGTAGAGGGAGAGGAAGGCGTGATGGTCGTGCGAGGGCAGGCTGGCGGATTCTGCCTCGCCATGGTACGGGGTGCACGACTGCTTGACCTTGTCATTGATCATGAACAGCGACTCGTCCTGCGATCCAGCATCGAACTCGTGCATCGTCCTGCATTGGGGTGAGGCAAATGAGACATGGTATCACATGCAGATTAGACTAAGTCGCGGGGGGGGGCAGTACCAGGAGCCAGCCTTTCCGTTGGGCTTGATGAAGAAGCTGACCTTGCGCAGCTCCCTGTGCGGCTCCGGGGTGTCGAAGAGCTCGAAGTGGTAGCGATCGGTCTCGAGCTGCCAGTGGTAGACCGGGTCGAAGTACACGTAGGACTTGCCCAGGAACTCGGCCTCGCTCAGGTCGAAGTGGGTCAGGTTGCCACGAATGGTCTGAACGCATCATGCACAGCAGGAGGAGAAGATCAAGGGCCGATGAACAAGAAGCACGAGGTTAGTCTCTCTCCACTTCGAGATCGTCGTATGAAGATGAAGACACTACGGTCGATGTACCTTGGTGAAGCAGGTAGCGACCTCGCCCCTGAAGAAGACAGCAAACATCTTCTGCTCGGAGTGGTCGTAGATGAAGGAGTGAAAGAGCGTCTCCCCGTGCACTTCGGCCAGTCTGTCCACTCGAGCCTTTTGCAGTTTCTGTGTGCGTGCGGATGTGACGCAGGTGAGCACCACCAAGAAGAACAACCCGGCACGCATCGACGATGAAGCAGCGATGAGAGCGCACCTCGTCCCTGAACCAGCGGAAGTACTCCTGGTAGGGCTTGTAGTTCCTTTGTACGTGGACCGCCGCGGAGAAGGCCGGCGGCAACTGTGCATGTGCGTGCGGTGTGCGTGTGTGCGTGTGTGCGCCGCCCGAGCGTGTTAGTGCTGACACAGTGAAGCTCTCTTGGACCGACAGGGAAGTGTACCGTCGGCTTCTCGGGCACGACGATCTGTTTCCAGGCGTGGCAGCAGGCGATGCACGCCAGGCACACCAAGAGGGTAAGTGCGAGCTTCCTCTGCATCGGGTTTGTTGGTGGTGGGTCTTGTGTGCGGTTGAACGTCTATAAAGACTACTGGTCTGCCCAGTGCGCTCCAGAGGCCTTCGTGCGGTTGTACGTGGGCTGATCGCGCATGCACTTGCGTGCCGTGGGCTTTTCTCCTGCAGGTCAGGGAGTGGAGCCACGACTTGCGTCGGGCCGCTCATCGAGACGTACGTTGGCCTGCTGGGCATGATGACACGCACGCCCACACCAGCAGACTGCATTCCACAGACCTCTCAGCTGCCACGCTCGTCAGCCTCTCTCGACAGGTGATGGTGGGTGATCCGCAGACTGGAAGCCAAGCTTGGCCATTCACAAGCAACACACGAAACGTCCACTTCCGTCTCGTCGCCAGCACCCTCGTCTCTGCCTCCACTCTCCTCTTCCTCACCCTCTTTGCTCTCATCATTGCCGCCGCTTCCTTCGGTGTTAAGCGCCACCTCCTGGTGTCACCAGTGGGTTGCTGTATTGCCACCCTGCTCGTTACTGATTCGATTAGTCGAGGAGAATGTTGGGTGGAGTGGAGAGTTTTCAAAGGCTAGGAAGAGCAGAGGGGCACATCTTCTGCCATTGTCTTCTGTGGCCTGTGAGCTATCCGGAGACGAATAAATATCCTAAATTGTCTTAATAAAACTACGGAAACTTGTTAATTAAGTTGTATGCTCGGAGTTTTGACCATTGCTGGCTGGAACCTTCGACCTTCCCGTTCAGCTTCCACTGTCGTACTCGGCCACCTCCTGGTATTCGTCCGCCAAGTCACGCACATTTGAGCTGGCTTCGGCGTACTCCATCTCGTCGCACCCGCGCTCATAGTACCTGCAACACCAGTGCGATAACATCATGAAAATCATCATACCCGCGCGGAGTGTGTGAGGCAAAACTCGTACAGGTAGGCTTTGCGCCTGAACATGACGTTGAAGATCTCCCACGAGGTCTCCAGGGAGTGTCGCACGCTGGTCGAATTGGAGACGAGCGTGCAGCTGCCTCGCGGCAGGCGACTGCCTTGCTCGCCCGTGGTCGTGGCCGTCGCAGCTGTCGTTCCCGCCACGTCAGCCTCACGGCTACCGAAGGACAGGCTCGGTCGCGGGTGCCACCGCCCGAAGGAGTGCTTGGCATTGTCGGCGACCCAGGGCACATACCACGGCACCACCACCTCATCGCGTCTATCGGTCGTCGTCGGCGGCGGCTCTGCCTCACCTCCTTGGCCTTTGGCGGCGACGGTCGTGGTGATGTCATGCATCTGCGCCAGGGGCTCCTCGATGTTGCTGACCACACCAGCGCTGCTGGTGTGCGGCTCGAGCTGGAAGTGTGCGTGCGAAGCGAGCAGGCGGCCCGACACCCACTGCTCCCGGGGCGCCAGCAGGTTGCCGTAGTAGTAGAGCGCGTCCACCAGGGCGCGCGGGGTCATGGCCGCCGCCGGCTGCCAGGAGGGCACGTGGTTGAGCGAGAGGAGGTGGAGCCGCGGATAGGGCACCAGCGTGTGGGCGAGGCTGCGCAGCGAGCTCGGCGCGTAGTTGCCCTGGCGCGCGGGGAATCGCAGGGGGTGCGTGACCTGCATTGGACCGGCACAAGCAATCAACAGCGGCGCGTGAGTCTGTGGTATGATCCTTGGGTGTCAGCTGACTATGGGGGACCAGCAACGTACGCCAGCGAAAGCGCGGGCGATGAGGTCGATTGGCTTGGTCGAAGGCCCACAGAGGCTGCGGGCGCGCTACAATCATTAAAAGAAGGAAGTATTTATCAGATTTTGCTCACCAGCATAGACGAGCACGAAGCGAGATGACGAAGAGGCACCTTTTCACTGACGTAGAAGCACAGATCCGCGTATTCGATCAGCTGGTGCAGAGTGAGGACGATGTTATCTGCACACCAGCCAGGTCCCATTGGCGCGAGATGATCCAAGCAGTATTGTGTGTGTGCGTGTGTGCGTGCGGCTAGAGACGAAGGACCCAAGAAGGGGAGTCACACATACAGGGGCCAACGGCGAGCGGCATATCGGGAGCGGGGATCACGGACAGCGTCGACATCATAGTGTCGGGGTATTCCTCCCGCAGGCGAGACAGGAGCAAGGTCGTGAATCCGCCGCCACAGGCACCTTGAGCCACCCACCCAAACATTCCAACCAGTCAACACACGTGTAGCACCACATTCTCGGCATTATTTGGTGTGGTTGGGGTACCCGCAACGTCGTGGAAGAGCTGGAAGGCTTGGAGCGTGTCGGCGCGCTCGGCCTCCCGCCTGACCAGGTCGAGCACATCGTCGAGGGACTCGGCGCCCTCCAAGTAGTGGCCTTGTGACCAGTAGCCGTGTAGTGTATTGTCGGTCGTGTGGAAGCAGCTGAGTGTGGTGGAAGTGGTCACGAACATCGTAAGAGTACACCATCACCGCGCCACCACCCTCGCACTCCACACCTGCCAAACGCACTTTGATCGGTCGAACAGAACGCTGGAGGGATGCTTCGAGGTCCGCATGCCCAGGTACTCCAGATCGGCGAAGACCGCGCGGGCCACCACCGACTGATCGGACCGGCCTGTGAGAGAGAAAGCGCACATCACAGGAATCGAAGCCTTAGGCGAAGCAGATCACATCAATATTATCATCGTCTGTGTAACTCGCTCCGCCTTCCGTACCGGGATCAGACTCCCTGAAGTGCGAGCCGAGACCATAGAGCGCGCGTGGCGGTATCTTGTGGTTGAGCGTCAGGCCACCGGGTCCTGACGTCGCTGCAGCCGAGGGAACCAGCAGGTCGTGCTCGAGCGCCACCTGCTCCACGTACGACGCCAGCAGCGCCTCGCCTGCGAAGTCCTAGAATAAATGACGGTGTACGAATAATAGTATAAAAAGAAAAATAAATAGTATAAAAAGAATAAATATTATTTAAAGGGCGCACCGATGATGCCGCTGCTGATTTGGATGAGGGGCGATGGACCCAAGGGGCCAACGTTGCGCACAGGCTGCTGCCAGCGCTGGCGAGACAGGAGGCGCCATTGGTGGGCGATGGCGGCAGCGCGCAGGGGCGCAAAGGGCGGCGGTGCGGTACTGGCCACGGGGTTCGCCTCGAGCGCAGTCTCGCTGCCCAGGGCGAGGGCGCAGAAGGTGCGGCACACCAGGGCGAGCCGCACGACGTCCGCCAGCGGTCCGGGCTCCAGCTGCTGCAACACGTGCCACCACACCTCCGCTGGAAGCAGCTCCAGCGCGTGCTTCGTCGGCACCTCTTCTTCCTCCGCCACCATTTTTTGAAAATAAGTTAATTAATAAATTTAATAAATACACAACAAACAAATATTTGTTTGAATTTGGCGAGTACAAACCTGAAAATGTAGTATGAGAGACATCATGGCTGGCAGCCCTCAAAGGCCCACATGATGTGGTTGAGGTGGAAGAAGGTGTTGGTCGCCTCCATCATGTGATTTGTTGCCCTGGGCATCCCTACTGGGCACTTGCATCAGTACCATCAGGCAGTGGTCCTACAGTGCCACAGGGCAGTACAGCAGCAGTTAGACACCCCCACCATGCACAGTAGTAAGTGGTGTTGTGGTGTGGACAACATACAGTTTCAGGACCAATCATGCAGATATCAAGTCACTTGAGGGCAGGCAGACAGTGAAGAATCTCCAGGTACTCAAACCCTGGGTCAATGGCATGTCTCATAAGTCAGCCAGAAAGCAGTGAGTGTGGGCAGGCCACACAGATAGTGAGACATATGTAATGACATACTCAGACCTGATGGTTGTGCCTTTTGTGCTGTGTAGTGAAGGTTAGGGTGGTCAGTTGGCCTAAAGACTTGAATGGCACTAAACAAGACAGGTGGTACAAACTGGGTGAACAAAAATAAACACAACCTTGGGCACTGGTGGTGTGGTCCAGGAGAATATCACTGAGGTGGATCAGTGCTCCCACCACTAGACACATTAAGATACCAGGGTATGTTAAGCATTTGTGTCAACAGATATCAAGATACTAGTGGTATGTGAAGTAGTCACATCAGTGCATGTCATTGGTGAATAGAAGTGAGCTGTGGATGCCAAAGTTGACATTTATTTTTATTCTAGATGCTGAGTGCTGATTGGGCCACGTCTGTTTCGTGCAAAGTACCAGGCGACACACACCTGAGAACATGTGGGGCCTTGTCCCAGGTGAGCTCTCCCTCTTCATGAACTTGGACCTTTTTATCATTAAAGTCTGGGTGTCACTGGGCTTGCCTCAGTGGGAACAACTTCGGGAACTTCGAAACGCAAGGGTGCCATTTTCCCTGGCACTCATGGCAATTCGAGGGGAAACGGGCTGGTCACGGGGAACGTGGCGTCAGGCCCAGCTGGCCAGAACTCAACCCAACTCGCTTCGTCTCACTCACCATCTTTTCTCTGAGCAAGACGAGTACGCGCCCACACCGCTAGTGCGACCCATCGCTTGCTCAGCGCATCCACCCAGACCGTGGCGCTACACACACACGTCGGACCACTTGGCCCAGCCAGCGATGAAGAGGAAGGTGAGCGTCGGAAGCGACCGCGCCCTGCGGCCCGTGCTTCCCAAGGAGCGGAAGCAGCGCAGCGACCACAACAACAGCGACCACAACAGCGGCGGTGGCGACGAGGAGGGCATCGAGGACGTGCTGGTGGACAAGGAGCTCATGTTCCTCATCTTCGGACCCGATCTGTTCACGTGGAAGGACCTGCCCGTACTCGCCAGCGTGTGCCGGTACCACACCACCCACCAACGCAACACGCAACACCCCCCCCCCAATCAACAACGCAACACACATCACTACATGTGCGAGAACACGCAAGCAAGAACAACACGCGACGTAAGCTCAAGATCAACGTTTCTGACGCGAGGAAGAAGAAAGTCTGGTGATTGGCCTAACTAATTTCTGACGACATCCACAACGACCCACAACCATCAGGCGTTGGTGGCGCCTGACGCAGGACGCGGTGCTGCGCCAGCAGCTGGTGGCGGGCAACGTGGTCTCGTTCGGGCTGGCGGACCCGTCCGGCCACGGGGACCACGTCGACAAGCTGCGGCCCAAGTGCGTCGAGGCGCTGGCCCGCGAGCGCGTGCGGGACGTGAGCGCTGGCCTCTACCACAGCCTCGTCGCCACCAAGGACGGCGGCCTACTCTCATTCGGCTACGGCAGTGGTACCAACCACCGCCCACCACCAACCAACCACCACCACCGTTTTTTCTCACCAGCTAACGTGGTCGTAGATGGTCGGCTGGGTCACGGCGATCAGCGCACGCAGATGATTCCGCGCCCGGTGCTCTCGCTCTCCGGCGTTCGCATTGTGAAGGTCGCTGCGGGGGCACACCACAGCCTGGTCCTCAGGTACAACTTTTTACCTCCGGCGTCAGTCACCGGCCTGTCGGACTTAAAACGTGGGCTCCATTTCGAAATTGTGGCTGACTCTTATCTTCCACACAGCGACCAAGGCAACGTGTTCTCATTCGGAGTCGGAATAGACGGGAGTCTCGGGCACGGCGACCAGGCCCGGCAGTTGGTGCCCAAGCTCATTTCCAGCCTGCAGCGCGAAAAGGTGGTCGACATCGCCGCAGGTACGGAGCGCCTTACTCAATGAAGCAGAAACGCCATCTTTCTCGCTCTCTTCCTCTCTTTCTGGCCGGTTCTCATCTTTTTTGTTCGTCTTCTTCATCGTTAGGCAGCGCACACAGCCTCGTGGTAGCGGAGAGCGGCGATGTCTACTCGTTTGGCCTTGGGAGCGAGGTAACCCCTTTCTGACCATGCCCTGGGCGTGTGAGGCTCTTAAGCACAGCAGACCCTCTGACATGCCCCCCCCCTCTCTGATATAGGGCGCCCTGGGCCATGGCGACACAGACATGAGCCTCGTCCCGAAGAAGATTGAACATTTTGTACAGCGACCAGCAGTCAAGGTTGCTGCTGGCGGCAGCCATAGCCTCGTTTTGTCCAAGGTACACACACAGCCACCACTGCCACACAGCCACACCACGCTGTGGTTGCCCGTGCATTGTCGCTCATCTCAGCTTTATGTGCTCGAGCAGGAAGGAAGAGTTCTCTCCTTTGGACAGAACAGCTACGGCCAGCTGGGCCTGGGCCACTTTTCGCGCATGATCGCGTCGCCGGCCCAAGTGCAAGTCGAAGCTGCGGCCGTGGAAATCGAGGCGGGAGCTCACCACAGCCTCGTTCTCACCAACGACGGCCGAGTCTACTCCTTTGGGCTCGCGCAGCATGGGCAGCTGGGTACGTGTCTCCTCCCAAGAGCTCTAGCTCAGATCACGGTGTGTTTGGTGACCAACTGGTGTGTTGTGTGGTAACCAGGCCATGGCAACGACCTGCGTGATAACCCCGAACCGACCCTGATCCAGTCGCTGGAGAGGGAGCGCATTGTGGACGTTGCTGCGGGGAACAACTTCAGCCTGGTGCTCAGTGCGGAGGGCACGGTGTTCTCGTTCGGCTGCGGCAAGGTACTATTCACCTTGCCTTACCTGGCAGCAATCATCTAAAGCTGACGCCCATCCCCCAACAGAATGGTCGATTGGGCAAGGGCGACGAGAGCAATGCCACCCAACCTACCGTGGTCTTTGCCGCGGGCCACACAGTCTCAGCCATTTCGGCCGGCTACAGCCACAGCCTGGTCGTTGTCTGATCCACAAGGACGATAGAGCACAACCTTGTGAATAGTCAACACTGTTATATTCTTGCACCATCTCCTTCTTACTCAACTTCATTGTGGGCCTGTAGTCCCACACCGGTGCAGCAAGACGAAGGGCTAGCGGCTCTGGACCAGAAAGGAGAAGGTGGTAAATGCAAAGGAAATGACATTTCCTTTTGAGTTGGGATAAAACCGGTTGTGGTTGCCTTTGTCGGCGGCCCCGAGGCGACGCAGAAGGCGGGAGTGCCGTCGTGCCTCTCTTCCTGCGCCAGCCGCGTAGAACACAGATAGAGAGAAGATGACCGACGATACGAAGGTATGCCCCGCGCTCAACCTGAAGGAGAGCGACCCGGCCGAGAATCAGGAGGAGGACCGCATCATGCGGCACGCCTTCAAGAAGGTGCCCCCGAGCGATCGGCCTGGCACTGACAACAAGTTTGGCTTCTGGCTCGGTACCACCTCAATCCATCTCACTTAATTTTTTCTTGCTGATCTTCCACCCATCTAATTTATCAATAAATCTCTATAAAGATTATAGAGTTTTATTTATAATTTATAATTTATAAAATCTGTTATATGTTTGTGCAGAGGGTTTCCCTGCCGTGCCAGGCCAGCCCGTTGTGTTGGTGTTCGAGGGCAGGCAGGTGTACCACAGCGGCAACCTGAACGGCGACGTGCAGGAGAACTTCAAGGTGGACCTCCCGCCCATCACCGCCCAGTCCACGTCCGAGCTCAACATCCAGCTCAAGATCGGAACCAAGGTAATGCACCACAAGAGAGACGCCGCCGTTTGCACGGTGACGCGGTGGCTAACACGACGTGACTCTTCGCTGCTTGGTGCGTGTGTGAATGAATGAATGTGTGCGTACATACAGAACTTTGACAACACGCTCAAGGTGGATGTCAAGGACGGAAGGAACCTCAAGCTCGTGTTCACCGACAAGGGTCTCTCCATCCAGCAGAGGTCGCAAGCCTTCTAGAAGAAGAAGAAGCGCTTCGCGTCCTACCCCGAGCTCTCCCCTTGTGTTTATGTTACCTCCCCTCTTTGTTTGGTTGCTGCTTGTAGCGTACACAACAGCCATGAGTAAATACCACACACACGCGTGTGTTCATCACCGCCTTCTTGCACTCGTGTTCCTGTGCGTGATGGTCTTCTTCGTCGTGCCCGTATGCCTGTCTGTTGCAATCACGAGGAACCCTCTAACGAAAGCCAAAGCAACAAAAGATGGAGGAAGGGCAGGCCGCGTCGCCTTCGGCAGCGATAGATGAGCAGACAGCACAAGGAGCGGCACGGCCGCGACAAGGTAAGGTGCGGGGGGCGACGCCCAAGTGGGCTCCCATCGAGCGGCACAGCACGAAGGACCAGGGGCGAGCAAGACGAAGGAAGTCCTACAACAAGGGGCACACAGAGGGCCGCACTACGCTCAAGACAAGAGGAAAATCAATCCCAATCGCCAAGAGCAGCAGAACTATGTCGCGATTTGAAGACTACGAGACACCACGGGAGCAACCTTGCCAGCATTTATATTTATAGTGGACTTGCATTAAAACGTACTGCGTACAATTACAACTTACATGGCATACTGTTTAGCCTCGGCCAATGCCGCCGCTCTTCTGGGGCTTGTACTTCTTCATCTCGGTAAGCTCGCGCTCAATCCACCACAGAGCACCTGTACGCACGCAGCATAATCCATTAATTCGGTGAGCACAAGCCAAATTGTTTTGATTTTATAAAATCAAAAAAAAAAGCTTTCGATCTTTGTGCGGGGGGGGGAAGAGCGTACCGTGAGCGTCGCCGCCGAGCCTCTGGGCCTTGCGGACAGCGGCCTCGGCCGTGAGTACGGCGCGGTTGAGGTCGGTCTGATCGGCCGACAGGAGCTGGGCCAGCTCGTTCTTGGCCTGCATGGCCTTGATGCCGCTGGCACCGGCCGCCGCGGCCTCGAGCTGGGCCTTGCGGGTCTCAATCTTGTTGATCTCGTCCTGGACGGCCTTCAGGGCGGCCTGCGCGCGGGCCAGCTCCTCGTTGGAGCCCTGCGGGCGGGTGACGAGCTCGCGCACCGTGACGCGGTACTTGACGACCAGGTACTCGATGAGGCTCATCCGCTTCTTGCGGTCGAGGCCCAGATCGCGCAGCAGCTCGCGGAGCTTGACCACGGTGGCGGTCTCCTGCCAGAACTCGAGGAAGCGGTGGGCGTTGAACTCATCGAGATCGGAGCCCTCGGCCTTGCGGTCCTGGTCGAGCTCCACCATCTTGGCGACGTACTTCCACAGCTGCTCGGCGTCGCCCTTGTGCTCGTTCCAGAAGGCGTTCAGGAAGAACACGGCCTGGTCCCTGTAGGGCCTCGCAATCACCTCCTTGAACCTGTCCAAGTCGCTCATCTTGTGTGTTGGTGTGTGTTGATCGTATGAGTGCGGGAGTAGCTGGTGCTCTGCCTTTTCTTCTCACTACCCCCCCCCCGCGTGTTGGTTGCTCTGCACCAGTTTTTTATTTCCGACAAGTCCGCTGGCCAACACGCCCAAGAGAAAACAAAGGAAAAGAAGAAAAATAAATAGATTCAAGGCCAACCAAGGCGAGATTGGTGTGGTTGACACTCAGTGCACGACCATGACGGGCATGTGGGCGTGTGCGACCACATACTCTGATGTAGACCCCAGTAGTAGCCTGCATGCGATGGTATGTGTTGTTAGACGACGCTCATGAACGCAAGCTCGTCCGAGCATGACGTGAGTAGTGGGCGTACTTGTCGAGAGTGCTCATGCCCTTTCGGCCCACCACCAGCAGATCGGCACCCTCCAGCTCCTCGGTCTGGCGAAGCAGAGCCTCCTTCGGGGACGACGCCTCTACCTCCCTATACTCCCACTGGGCCACCTGGGGCCGAGTGTTGTTCATCGTCAGGCACTGGCAGGTTGAACGTTGTTTCTGCCAGCGTGCGGCGTTGATTGTGGGTGTATCGTGTGCGCGCGTTGGCGTGTGTCGTGTGCGGCGAGTAAAAGGGGGTGGGCACCTTGGGGCTGGCGCTGTGGCACAGCCCTTCGAACTTCTTGCGCACGTGGGTGGCGGTCTCCCGGGCCTCCACGTTTTGCAGGTGGTCGAGGGTGTCGTGGAAGGGGTCCAGCACGGACGTCGTCACCACCTCGGTCACGTGCAACACCACCAGCGAGCCTCGCCCTCCCATCACCTCCACCGCCCTCTTGAACGCTGTCCACCCCACACGATGAAAAGAGATCCAATCTCAACAAATCAGCCCACTCGCCACATTTAGCAAAGCAAGAGGGTAACCTACCGCGCTCTGCGCTCGAGGAGTTGTCAACTGCCACTACCACCTTCACCATCGCCTGCTCTTTTCTTCTGATTGTATATTATTTAAATAAAAAATACTTTTCTTTTGTTCGTTTTACCAAGGTCTTTTGTTCGTTTTAAAAAAAATGGTCTGTACAAACCGAAAGGGCGTGCCACAACTCTCAGATGTTGTCCCAGACCTGATGCTGGTGCTGCGGCTGGTGGATGTCCTCGTGCGAGTAGTCCGCGAACTGGGCGTAGTCCGAGGGTGGAGCGTCGAACAGGAGCTGTGCCAGGTAGCACATGTCGTCTCGCTCGCTGGAGGCAGAATCGCCGTCGGTGGCGCCGAGTTGGCCGTGTTGGCTAAGAGACGACGGAGGAGATGAGTAGGAGTAGGGCGAGGTTGAAAGACTCGCGACAGAAGGCGGTGCTAAAGATGAAGAAGACGACGGGAAGCAGTCAGGCGCAGACGAAGACGAATGTGTGGCTGATGACAGAGGTACGCCGAGATGTGGAGCTGAGTGAGGGGAGGGCGGACTGGCCGAGCGATGTGAGGTCAGATGGCCGTGGTGGTGCATCGGATGGATGTATGGAGCAGGAGCGGTGTGATGATTTCCCGCGTGATGCTGGCCGAACAGAAGATTCGCTATGCCGACCCAGCTGTCGAATTGCTCGCCCTCATGCAGCACATCGTTCTTCCACTTGAGCATCTTGGCGATCGAGTACTTGGCCTGATACGTGCACAGAGTGCGGCGCATTTAGAAAGGGCTAAGTGTGAACTGTAATCCAGGGGTTGCAAGACATGGTACCATGCCGGAGTGATCGTAGAAGAACTGCACGTGCGACACGGCACGGAACGTGGTGCCGTCCCGTCGGCGCAGGAGCGAACTCATCCGATACACCTCGCTCACGCTCCATGGCGCCCTGCGTGATTGCTGTGAGTGAATGTCCGGTGCGCAGTCACCGCAGCGCAAACACAGCGATGGTGGGTGTAAGCGCACTTGGCGACGAGCACAGGGGCCATCCTTCTTGCAATCGCGGCGTTTTGGGCCCACACGCCCACCAGCGATGAGCCGGCCAGCTCGCTCTAAAGTAACCCCAAATAGGGAGAGGAACAGAGGATTAGGGCGTGTATTTCGTGAACTGATACCGACAGGAGCTGTACCGGTAAGAACTGCAGCATGGTGGCGAAGGCGTCGTTGGTAAAGAGAAACAGCGGCGGTGTCGATACTTCCATGCCATTCACCACGACCGCGCTGATGGGGTGACTGAACGGCGCCCGTGGTGGCGTGAGTTCAGGTGCCACGGGGGAAAGGTGGGCGTGAAAAAAGGTCTACCTGAACATGTTGTCGATCACGAACGGCCGCTCAGGTGGAATGTTGTAGTGGTTGAGGAAGGGCAGATACTTGCGAGCTTCTCGCAGCGACGGAGACACAGCGGCGGCAGAGATGAGCGGTGGAGGCTGCGGCGGAGACGAGAAAGGCATTGCGGTTGACGATGGTGGTGGCGGTGGTGCAGACGCCGGAGAGGAGGATCGGGGCAGTTCGATGGCGTCGATCTTCATGCGCGTGTGCGGTCGCTGGTCGAGGTCCAGGAACTCAGCCAGCCGTTTCTTCGCCTGTTTGTGCTTCTCTTTGAGCCTCCTCATCTTCTCCCGCAGGTCATGGTTCTCCTTCCGCATCTTCCGCATCTCTGCCGACATCATCTCTATCACGTTATTCGCCAGCTGCGACTCTGCCTTCACCGCCGATGATCCCCTCCTTACGAAGCCGCCATCCTCCAGCGCACTGTCGTCATCGTCGTCGTCATCATCGTAGTCGCTCCCGCCGTCGTTATCGTCGCTCCCGTTGTCATCGTCATCTGAGGAGAGCTCGCGCTGGGATGAATCGGGGGAAGTGAAGTAGAGTGGGACCCCGGTGTCGTAGTGCCCCGGGTGCGTGGCGCGCTGCTGGTGCCCAGGGTCTGGATCCCGCCTCGCAAGCGCATGGTCTATGCACAGTGCCCACATCACGCACACAAGTTTAGTGATAGCCGAGTGTCGGTGCCATACCCGAAGGCAACGAGAGCGCGGGTGCACAGACCTGTTCCTGCGCCGTTGGGGTGCACGGCAACTGTCATGCGATGGCGATCATCGGTGCTGTTATCGGGAGGAGCTACGTAGGAGGTGGACGACGATGACGAGGCCGCTGCTGCCGCCGCGGCTTTCCGGTCACGGGGTCGGTAGCGCGGGTCGGTCTTTCTGGGGCGGCCCCGCTTGCGCATCTGCACGTCGGAACACAAGTGCGCCTTGCCTATCTTGATGCAGCGCCGACATGGTCGCTCTCTACATGGGTTGAAGAAAAAGAAGAACAAAATGGCGTGTGATGACATACACGCACACGTTGGTACCACCACATTAGGCCCAAGAAGCTCAGACTACCCACAGCACAGAAAGCGAATGGGGCGGTGAAGTGGTACGGGCCGCAGGCGGTGTGGGAGATGCGACAAAAGTTGCAGGCCTTGCCGATCGGGTTCGGTCCCGGCTCGCTCGGCAGGTCGTGGTGCGCTTCGTCGTGGTGGTCCTGCAGCTGCCGTGGTGCTTCCATCTGTCCGTCAACAGAAACATTGACGAATGGAGGCTATTCTCAAGTAGACGCCTGCTTTTTTCGCCGCTGAGCTCCTGTTTTTCTTTCCTATCGGATGTTTTCGGGCGCTAGAATTAAGTCGCCTACTTTTTCCTCCAATCGCAAAAGCCATTCATAAATCGCCGCGCTGCCCCGCGGCGTGGTGCTTTTTATTTTTCTGACCAAACGGGTGGTGGCGTGCCCCTTTGCCTCTTGCGTGATGATCTGGACCTCTTCTCTCACTTGCGCTCACTGTAGCTACTGGAGTAGTCGCCTCCGCTGTAGCTTGCGTAACCCGAGCTGCTGCCGCTGCTGCCGCTGCTGCTCCCTCCACCACTTCCGCCTCCCGAGCTGCTGCTGCCGCCGCCACTGCTGCTTCCCCCGTAGGAGCCGCCGTAGCTGCCCGCACCGCTGCCGCCGCTGCCGCCACCGCTTGGTGGGTAGTTGCCGTAGGACGACGAGTAGCGATCGTCCGAGCCTTGGCCGTAGCCGCCCGGCGCGCCGTAGGAGTCGTAGCCGCCGCCGTAGCCCGAGTCTCTGCCGCCGTAGGAGCCGCGAGGGGGCATACCGTAGGGGGAGTCCCTCCTGCCGTAGGCGCTGTGCTCGCCACCACGGAAACCACCCCTGCCGCCATAACCGCCGCCGCCGCCATAGCCATCGTAGCCACCGCCGCCGTAGCCGCGGTCGTAGCCTCGGTCATAGCCTCGATCGTAGCCGCCATAGCCGCCACCACCGCCATAACCGCCGCCGCCGCCGTAGCCGCCACCGCCATAGGGACCGCCGTAGCCACCGCCGCCACCGTAGCCACCGCCGTAGGGACCGCCGAAGCCGCCGCGGAACCCAGGGTATCCGCCCATGCCGCCGCGGAATCCGCCCCTCCAGCCTCCGTAGCCACCGAAGCCGCCTCTGCCACCGAAGCCGCCGCGCCCTCTGCCGCCACCAACGCCCTCTGCCATCGCCTTCTTGACAAAGATCCGTCGGCCATCGACATCCTGTTGCGAACGACGAGTAGAGCATCGAGCATTGGTGGGAAATGGAGATCGCGGGCACAAGCGAGAAAAGTGCTGAGCGTCGAGTACGAACCGCAGAGTTCATGGCATCGCGAGCTGCGGTGGCGTCTTCAGAGGTGGCAAACGACACGAATGCAAAACCGCGTGAGCGGCCGCTGAAGTGATCGACAATCAATTTCACTGTGTGTTGTGTTGTGTGTGTGTTATGTGTGTGTTGGTGGTGTGGCCACAGAACAGTCCGCAGGTAAGAGAAGCAGCATTAGGCAAACAGCAACAAGAAGGCTGGTTTTGGTGGCACCATCAGTAACGGTGCCGTGCTGCCCGAAGAGTTCCTGTAGTTTCTCTCTGTTCGTCTCCCAATGCAGGCCAGCGACGTAAAGCTTGGTCTCCTCCTCACCGTTCGCGTTGAGACCTTCCTGTCAGCGGGAGAACGAAGAAAAAAGAAAATGTCAGTCTCACACGCATCCGTCTGTCCTCTCGAAGCTCTTGACTCTACCGATGAAAGGGTTTCTGGTGTTCAATTTCTCAATCTAGCGTTAATGTTGCTCTAATTTTAATCTACTTTTATCTCTAGCGTCTAATTTCGAAGTAGAGTACGCCAGTAACCTGTTCATGTGGGATCAATAGAGTGGGGATGAAGTAAAGGAAGAATGCAGGCTTGCTGGTGTAGGTGTGCAGCGTAATCTTACTCTGGGGGAATCCCTCCGCTCATCTCTATGGTCTCTATGGTCTCTATGGTCTCTGCGATCTCTGTGGTCTCTCTCGTCCCTCTCGTCCCTCCTGTCGCTTTCGTGATGATCTCTCTCATCTCTCACATCCCTATCGTCCCTCTCGTCCTTGCGCTCTCTCTCGTCCTTTTGGTCTTCGCCATCCCTCTGAGCTGCCACCTCCTCTCGTTGCTCATGTTCTCCTTCCATCAGCTCGCAAATTGATTTTGGCCCAAGCCGAAAAAGAGGAAATATTACGATTTTGTAAAAAAAGGAAAAAAACAAATCCTTGTGGCTTGGGACAGATGGAGGGGCAGCCCCTGACCTGTTCTGTCTGTTCAAGAGCTGTGCACTCTCCATGCCATGAGCGCCAGCTGTGGTGCACTACTCATGCTGTTGCAGCTCAGTGCAGTGTAACAGGGAGAGGTCACACTAAAATTGCAATAATTCAAGCCTGGCAAGAACCCAAGAAGGGCAGGGCAGCCCACACAAGCATTTCCTTTGATTCCAATGGTCATCAGTGTGCTTGGGTACATACCCTTTTTTTCTCCCTGCCTCAACTTCATGCAGCTGATGTCTCAGATGATTGTCACCACTTTGCCATGGCCACAGTGTGTTACAGAGTGGCAATGTGTATGTGCCCCTAGACCCAACACACTGGCTCCATCCAAGGTGAAGGCCCTCCAGTGGCTTGTGTGCTGCCTCAGGTGTGTCATAGTAACAACAAACTCTTAAATGATAGCTGCAATGTTGAGCTGATCCCAACAATCCCACAGGCTCACCAGGCAATTGCCCCTGCTTCAGCAACCAAGGCAAGCTAGAGTTGGCCTATGCCATGTTCACATAAGAAACAACAGGTACACACAATGTACCAGAAATATTGTTTATTCCTTCATCAGAGAGGTCCTCCACTGCAGGTGAGCCCTCAATAGTCCAAGTGCCCCACCCATGTGTTGTACCCAACAAAAAGTTTCTCTTCATGCTGCATACCAAATTGTCTGAACTGACACCACATATCCCTGTTCCACTGCTCACACAAGAGAAGGTAAAAGTCCTGTAGGCCACTCTCTTGTTTATACACATGCACATACAGCCCTGTTTCACTCAGAACTTGACACTGATGATGCCCAAAAGGTACAACAGATCCCCCTTCTGTTTTTGGCAGGGATGAGTTGGTTCTATTGGCTGCAATGGGCGGGCGTCCGCAGCATGTGATTTTCTTTTCCAGAATTCTCTTATTTTCTCGATCTTTTCCTTGTTCTTAGAGAACGACTCGATGAGAATTCGAGTGACATTACGTGAGCGTTCGTCAGGTGCCGTTGCCATTGGTCACGCGGCGAAATTCGGATGACTGAATCCTGGCTGCAAACGAGCAGAACACGATCAAGCCCAAGAGCCTCGCCAAGAAGGTCCCAACAACAGGCGTCTGTCAGGAGAATACATCAACGCGCATTGACACCAGCGACAGGCGCCGACAACAAAGGCGGCCCTCCTTCCTCGCCATTTTCCACACCTTCGACTGCACCCCTGCACTACCACTACAACTGCGCGCGAGGCGACCCCACAGCCAGCCGAAGGCATTAGTTATCGCGTAGACGTCTAGCGACAACTAATCCAGCAACCGCCTCTGCCTGCACAAGGCCAACAACATCAACCCACAACAAGCCGCAGAACTCCACAGATTCGCGAATATCCTCCAAGATCAGGATGAGCAGGACTCTTACACAACTGGTGGCCGAGCTGGGCGAGGCGACGCACAACTTCAGCAGCTCGACGAGCTCGGGCGCCGACGCGGCCTTGGCCCTGAACCACGTCTACGAGGCTGCACTGCGCGAGCTGCACCAGCTCCAGCACGAACGACAAAAGTGGGAGCTCGAACGCAAGCAAGCCGCCTTTCGCGACCAATGCATTGTCGACGAGCAGGCTCGCAACGTCCACCTCATTCGTCTCAACGTCGTACGTTCTTCCTCTCTCCCCTCGTCATCTCTTCCACTTCATCTTTTTCTCTTTGGCTTCCGCGGCGTTCCCAACGCTTCGTGCGTCGCCTCGCCCCACGGGAATGCGAGGAATGGGCGTGAATGGGTGTTTCCTGGGTCAATGTCGCTAACTGGAGGTGGGACGTTTGGTTGTGCAGGGTGGCGTCTTGTACGTGACCACGCGCGCCACGCTGTGCCGAAAGGGCTCCTACTTCGAGGCCATGTTCTCCGGGCGCCACGCGCTGACGCAGGTCGACGGTGCCTACTACCTCGACCGTAACGGGCGCGTGTTCGAGGGCGTGCTGGACTTCCTGCGCACGGGCATCGTGCAGCCGCCGCCCAACGTCACCTTCGAGCAGCTGATGCACGAGCTCGACTACTTCCTCCTGCTCGACCGCGGAGACAAGGGCGCGAGGGGAGAACACGGCGAGGCCAACGGCGCCAACAGCGGCGTGGTCCTCCGTCGCACGCCCGAGGTGAGCGAGCTCGAGGTCGGTACCACGGTCTGGGTCAAGGCGCAGCAGGAGACCCTCTACAACTACCCGCGCGGTGCGCGAAGTCACTTTGGCGGCAAGGCGACCGTGAGCGACCTCTTCTTCGCCGGCAACAGCATGCAGCAGATCGGCGTCACCTTCAAGGACGGCTTCACCTACTACTTCTGCTGCCGCGACATCGAGATGGAAGACCACACCCTCGAACTCGAACACCTCGCGCTCTGATACGTATCAGCCATGTCGGCACTGAGCGCGAGGTGGAAGCAGAGTGAGGATGTAAAGGAGGAAAAGGACCGTCGTAAGTTATTGCTGATCATCACCGCATGTAGATACGTGCAAAGAGAAGACACGCCACATCTGTAAAGTAAAACCCTTATTATCACCCCCAGCTACCGTGTGTTGCTCTTCTCGTCTACTGCGTCACGTCGTTCTCTCGACACGCCGCAGACCCCCGGTTTACTTCCGCAGAACACCAATGTTTTCCTCGAAGCCCAAACTCTTTGTTTTCCGCTCGATCTTCGAATGGATTGGGAGGGATTCAAGGACGAAGAGGAAGGGAATGCTTCCTTTGAGCTGGTGCCTATCTTTGAGGTGGCAGGAACGGGCAGTGGCCTCTCCCACGCTGGCGCTTCCCAGAGCAGAGCGGATGGTCGGAGATCCTTGTTAATCGCCGGGCGTGTTGCAGTCGGGCGAGGAGGTCAACTCGGTGTACAAGACAAGTAACATGAGCCTCCCTGAGCAGTGCTACCCAGAGTGAATTGCTTTCAATCTAATGCTGCATGAATGTTAATCCACCAGGCGGGTTAGTCGGCAGCAGGTTGAGCTGGAGGCACGATCTGTTCGCAATGGCAACAGCGGCGTGGTGGTTGTGACTTTGGTACGCCTCTCCTGCTCTCTTTCTGAAGGTGTGGAACACTCAAAGCCTTCTCTCTGCCTCGTCTTCCTTCCACAACGTGCCGCGAAGACAGGGGCGAATCCCTCCGTGGTGCGCCACTGTCGCGAGGGTGCGGTGGAAAGGGAAACGATACTCGCCCGCAAGGGTGACACGGCCGAGATGCGGTGGGCGCACCCTTCCTTCTCGCTCTCGTGAAAACGTGCGTGGCCTGAGTTGTGTGGATTGAATGCGCTGTACAGGGTGGGCGACGTGCTGTGCCTGCTCGCCGCTGACTACTGCTTCCGGCTCGAGAGACCATCACGCGACCGTTCACACGAACGATCACCCTTAAAGAGAGCTAAGGCGGACACGCAAGCAGCGGAGGGGGACGACGACCCAGTTGACCCGGCAAAGCGACGGCGACTCGAGCACGAGAGCAACACACAACAAGGAGAAGACGGCGGCGGCGAGAGGAATGTGAAGCAGGACACGCACGACGGTGCAGCACGCACGGGACCTGGTGGGAGGGCCTCTCATCGGCGCGCGGGCAGCGAGCTGGTGCCGCTCGAGTTTGAATTCGGTGAGCACGGCGCCACGGTCAAGGTGCTCGACCTCACCCGGGAGTCGGACGACGATGCCAGCCCAGTGCCAGTGCCGGCAAGGACCGCCTTGTCGAAGCGGGACCAAGACAAGGCGATGGACGACGTGGCCGGCGTGCTTCCACACCTCCCACCCGACCAGATTCGCAAGGTGCTGGCCAAGCTCGACTGGAATGTAGAGGCGGCCATCGACAAGCTGCTGAGCGTCGGGGAGTCTCCTGAAGGAGACGAACAGCCGGAGCTGGTCGTCGTCGACGACGACGAAGCAGATCTGGCAGGCGAGCTCGTGCCTTCGAACTCGTTCGCCGAAGCCGAACCGTACTATCATCTCAACTGGCTTCCCAAGTATGCTCCTCCTTCAGCTTCTCTTGCGCGCTCACTGACGCATTGAATGCTCACCAGTGATCTCGTGCCGCGCGTCTCGCTTAGATTTCCTGCCGACGCGAACCAAGGAGCCCTCGGGATCAGGCAGATCATTCCCGTACCCACGACGCTCTCTGCCCTCCTCCTACGTTGTATCGATCGAGAGCTTCGTTAATCCTATTTTCTTTGTTTGTTTGTATGTTCCCTCAGGAAAATGTGGAGCGTGCGGTGATTGTGACGTACCAGGTGGACATGGATTGGCTCATGCGTCGGTGTCCCGTACTCAAACGTGTGCCCTGGTCTCTCATACATGGCGAGAGAAACGTTGGGGTAATGCAACAGCCCCTTGTCGTATGATATGTCTCATCTAGAAAACTGTGTTGTACTTCCTTCCATGTTGATTAACTCGTGTGTGGTGCGCCAGGTGCTGCCCCATCCACCGCCGCCCAACGTGCACTACCACAAGCCGTGGGTGCTGGATTACGGATGCCACCACGGCAAGATGATGCTTCTGTTTTGGAAAGGTACGTCCAATGCGCGCCATCGCATCGGTGGCTGACACTCACACGCGAGCCTATCAATGCCATAATAGACACGTTGCGCGTAGCGATCACCACCGCCAACCTCATACAGAAGGACTACGAGAGAAAAACGCAGGGCATTTGGTTGCAAGACTTCCCAAAGAAGAGAGGGGTACCCCAACAAGAGTCTCTGGTGGTGCAATGAGAGAGCCAACACTAAAAGTGGTGTTATTGTTGTTGTGCCGAAGGGTGCGTCGTCCGCCAGCAGCAGTCAAGGTTCTGGGCTGGCTCAGGATTTCGAGGACACGCTGGTGGACTACTTCGGCCACATGGGCAACGAGCGACAGCTCCAGTTCCAGCCCTCCTCGCTACGACACTACGACTACTCCGCCGTACGCGTAGCCCTCGTCACCAGCGTGCCGGGCTATCACTCGCGTACACGCTTCCCCCCCCCCCCGCACAATCCATCTCACTTGCTAACGCTCGCTTCGTGTCTCGTCGCGCTCTACAGGAGCAACGCTAAACCGGTACGGACACATGCGCCTGCGCGGCCTATTGTCCAGGGTCACCATGCCGGCCGAGATTGAGCGACGCTCGTCGGTGGCCTGTCAATTCTCCTCGGTCGGCTCCCTCACTGCCAAGTGGGTCGAGGAGGAGTTCGGGCAGAGCCTCATGGCCTCCGCCGGATCGTCCGACGTACGACGCACCTGCAGCCCATGATGGCCAGACGAAGCCACCTCACAGCGTACACGCCCACACGTCCACCAACCCAATAGAGCAAGAAGGAAGCGCAGGTGGAGCTTGTATGGCCGACGGTGGACTACGTGCGAAGCTCGATCGACGGCTACGCAGCCGGAGGTTACCCCAGTCCGCCCACACCAGTTGTCCAGCACCTGCCCTGCTCACCTCTTTTTGGGGCTTTGGTGTGGAATGTGCAGGTTCGCTGTGCTTTGGGGAGAGCAACAGGAAAGACTTTATGACGCCTCTGTTTCGCCAGTACAAGGCCATGCCAGAGAGTCGAGGCCGTGTAACGCCCCACATCAAGTGCTTCACGCGACACCGTGACTCTCACTTGGCCTGGTACCACTTGTCGCTCTTCTCCTCCGCGCACAAACGCTGATTCACAATTTGTTTCGTTGTTCTTTGTTTCGTTGTGGCCTGCAACAGGGTGTGTCTGACCAGCGCCAACCTGTCCAAGGCCGCGTGGGGCGCTCTGCAGAAGGGCAACACGCAGCTGATGATCCGCAACTTCGAGATCGGGGTCCTGTTCCTCCCCTCCCACTTCGACGACCGAACCTTCATCGCAGGCTCCGCACCTGCCGCTCTGTCCAAAGGTACCCCCCCTCTCCAGCTCTCTCCACGCCTCCGCCTGGTGCAGCCCGGCCGACAATGCAGTGCGTGTGGGGTGTGTGTGCAGACTCGGTGGTGATTCCGCTGCCCTATCGAATAGAGCCGCTGGAGCGCTATGGACCACGCGACGAGCCCTGGATCTGGGACCTCCCCCGTCCTGAGCCCGACGCACTTGGCCAGACGCGAGGCGTGTGATGACGCTCGTCGTACCCACGTTGGTTGTGTGTTGACAAAATGTATTTCTTGAGAGGTGTGTGTTGATAGGTTTTTTTTAGGTACAAGAGGTGGAAGGGATCTAAGGCGGATGGATGCACATCAGGCCTTGGCGGTGACGATGCGGGCGATGTCGGTGAGCGAGACGACGCCCAGGGGCTTCATGGAGACGGGGTCGACCACGAACACCCTGTGCACGCGCTCTTCGGCGAGCTTCTTCACCACCGTCTGCAGGGGCGTGGTGGGGATGCACCACACGCGGTAGCTCTTGCAGGTGCGGCCCTCCTCCTTCCGCACGTGCTCGAGGAACTCGACGACGGGCAGCAGCAGCGCCTGGAACCGGTAGTCGGTGATCAGCTTCAGGTCGGTCGCGCTGAGGCAGCCCTGGAACGCGCCCTCGGCGTCTACCACCGCCAGGGCGCTCAGGCCCTTTGCGTGCATGGTGATGAAGGCGTCGATGGCCTTGGTCGAGGTGGGCACGGTGACGACCTTGTCGGCGCCGGCCACGAGGCCCAGATCGGTGATCGAGGCGTGGGCGCGAGCCTGGCCCAGGTACTTCTCGGGGTCGGTCGCGAGGAAGCGGTTGGCGTCGGTCTGCGTGAGCATCGCCACGATGCGCGTCGGGTCCTCTGAGTCCACCACCGGCACGCGGTGCACCCCGCGGGCGAAGTTGCGCAGCACTTCGATCAGCGGCGCGCCCAGCGTGCAGGGCAGGAACGGGTTTCTGGTGGACAGGTTGACCTGTGTTTGTAGTGTAGAAATAGATGTTTGAGTGGGAGGAAGGGGGGGGGTGGTAGAAGAGAACTACATACCCCGGTGGCGACGTTGGTGGTGTTGAAGCGCTCGCTGCGCTGGACGAGCATGTCCATGTCGTCGTTGTGGAGGGTGGTGGAGAGGGGCGAGACGCGCGACTCGACGGGCTCAGAGGCGACCTGGAGCAGGAAGGACAGGACGTCGAGCACGTCGATAAGGCCCTCGCACTTGGATTCGAAGTCGACGACGGGCGCGGCGAGGATGTGGTGGCGGTAGAGCGTGTCGAGGACCTCCTTCACCGTCGCGGTCTTGCTCACGACGTGGATTTGGGCGGGCAGCTGCTGGTGGCTAAGAACGTCTCTCACTGTGGCGGTTTCCATTTGCTCGTGGTGTGTGTGTGTGTGTTGGAAGGTTTAGGTGAAGAGTGGAAGAGAACTTTGGGTTCTTGTTGGTACTGCGGGAGTCCAAGTGGTGTGGTGTAGGTATTCGAGGGGAGCTGTGCTGTGATGATAAGTGTGAAGCGGTGGACCACTTATATAAGCGCAGGCCAGGAATTTCATCTAAACTTGGCGCATAACTGTACGACGTGTCGCCCAGAAATTGTCGAAATTTCTGATTTGTCGGCGGTAACTAACCCGGTTGACGAGCCTCAAGCAGCGCAAGGGCAGCCGAGCAAGGTCTGTCAGGAGAGGGAGGCGAGGAACTCCTCGATTTCGGCGTCGGTGTGGACGGCAGCGATGCGCTGGAGGCCTTCTCGCGCTTTGGGCTGGGCCTCGGCAGACTGGGCCAGCTTGCCGATGGCCTCCTGCATACTCCTCCCCTCGTCGCTCTCCTCGCCTGCACGTCATAGAGCGGTCGGTTGTCAACTTGCGCCTTTGCCGCAACAGCACCTTCTTCTGTGGGTGCGCGGCGCGGTAGATGAAGCGAGCAGTACCATGCAAAGACGCCGCCCTGCGCTTGCACACGTCCGCGGAGATGTCCAGGTGCAACGCGTACACGTTCCAGTACCCGGCAGCATGCAGCGTGCTGATCCACCCCTACATGCCATCGGGGTGAGTTGCAACATATATATGAAGCCAACGACGAGGAATAGCAGGAAGGCGCACCTTCCGATGGACGGGGTTCAGGACCGAGGCATCGACGACGACGTCCTTGGGCCTGCCCTCCTCTGACATTTCGCTCAAGGTCGTCAACATGTGAGCCTTGCACTCCACATGGCCCTTGTAGTCATCCTCACTGAAGCGTAGCCATCCGCGCTTGGCCAGCCTCTTGGCGATCGTCGTCTTGCTGTTGACAGGGTGAAGAACATACAGTCGCGAGTTAGGCCTTCTGCCCAGAAGAGCAGCCGGATCAAGGCGAACACGGCCTGGATGAAAGGCGGTGGGCAGTGGTAGTACCCGCTTGCTGGAATGCCTACGAGTAGGAGGCCTAGGGGTCCGTTATCAGGAGGAGCCCAGAATTTCTGGTACCTGAGCTGTCCCACAGCATTCATGACGTCGCTCCCGTACCTGGTCAAAAGCGCGTCAGCTCCTCCAAGCCGCCTACGAAGCGCCAGAAGAGAGCGGAGAAGCGGCAGAGTGTACCTGCCCCACTCCTTGGGACCCATGTCCAGCTCGGCCCGGAGCGATGCCGCGGTCATGGGCTTCTCTCGAGTGGCGATCTTCGCCACCGCCTCCTTCACCCGGCCTTCCATTGTGGCATCAAAATTGCCCCAGTGCACTTCCTCGATGTCTCTCGGCTGACACCATTCGACGAATCGACGTCGGGAGGCGACAGTCAGTCAAGTGAAGGCACAGGCAAACAGAGTCCAAGAATGAAGCGGCTGCGCGCACCTTGACTTTGTACATGGTCCGGCCAATCAAGTGCTGCTTGGCGTCGAGCAAGTACAGCACGTGGCCTGAGACACGTCAAGCGATGAGTGTTCGTGGGCGTTGGGGCGTTCGCCGCGGTGAGTAAGCACACATACCTTCCGTCGCAAAGTGGTTGTACTGCGTGTTTGTTTGCTCGTGAGCTCAGGGGATCAATCAAGTGCGGCCAAAAGCAACATCATTGTGGAGCCTACCTCGTATTTGTGCTTGAGCCCGTGAGCTTTACGGTACTCTTCGTTGAGCGCAAAGTCCCTCTCCTGATACTCCTTGCAGACCTATATACACACGTCCGTGCATCGATTAAAAATGTCTGCAGGCATAAGGCGCTCAGCATGGGCGGAGCCGAAGGGACGCGCGTACCCTGACGACCTCGGCTTGGTCGAACGGATGCAGCACATCTCCACCCTCCTCGGGGCTTACGATGATCGGTGAGATCTGTCCACTGACAGTGGTCGAAAAGAGCGGCTGCAGGTCGAGGTCAAAGTCATACTTGACCAGATGAGGCTCCTGATGTACGAGATAGGAGGGTAGGTAAACGGCAAATCTCCAATCAAGTCTACGACCGGTTGGAATCTGGTGGGCTGGGTACCTTGTTGCCACACAGCTCGAACGTCAAGGATTGTACGAGGGGGTTCGCGAGCAGGGCCAGTCGAGCGGGGAGATTCTTCCATAGACCTCCCTCGGGCACTCCACCATCAAAACCCAAGACCTGAAGCGTGGAGGTGAAGAAGTCTGACACACACGGTGAGTACACACGGCACACGGCACACGACACACGACACACGACACAATTAAGTCGCATCGGATAAGGCGCAATCGAGGGTAACGGACGTACTGCCAAAGGTGCCGTCGGCCAAGCTGGCAGAGCCCTTGGACTTGCCGGTGACGTAGGTGTTACCGTCCTCGTCGGTGTATTTGAAGAAGAGCACGTTCATCCCGTTCCATTTGGTAGCCACGTAGTAGTGGCAGCACGCCTCCGAAAATGTCTTCCACTCGTTGTTCTCCTTTGTGGCATACGGATATCTAATGCAGAGCGGGCACACGTTAGGTGCATCATCTCATGTGATCCGTGAGAAGGAGCGTAGGAGCGCACGCACTTGAGCTTCGGAGTGCCGTAGATGGTCTGCGGCTCGACCCTGCGCCTGTTGACGTGAGTGATGAACAGCGCACCACCCATACTGCCCTCCTTGCGGCAGATCCCTGCACCATGGTGATGGGCAGAGAGTACAACACAGACGTCAGATGTGAGCACGTGCACAGTGGCCGGCGGTAGGCACAAGCAGGTATGAGGGAAAAGGTGTCGTACAGCCCTCCAGCGAGTTGCCGGGGTTGAAAGGGTCATTGGCCACCTTGAACGGTGACACTTGCTTGGGAGTGCAGCCAAACAACCTCGCTGCTCTGCTCCACCAACCAAAATAAGATTGTGACGAAAGAAATCTAAAACAATAACGGTGCTTGTACTCGCTCTTGGGATCTTTGATTTTGGGCTGCCGCTCCTTGGTACTTGTTGTTGTTGTTGTTGTTGGGCGCTGAGCATTGTTGTCCTCCCAGTCGCCGTGCCTGCCCCCTTGGTATCGCGATCAAATGATGAGATCAAATGGAGGTAAGGCACGACAAGAAACTGAAAATAGTACTCTTCCTCCTCCCTTGCTGTGCCGCTGCCGCAGGGTTCTCCATCATGCACCCAACGACTGACTACAACACAACCCTATGGGATCGAAGTCTTGCTCCAAGAGATTTTTTGGCTTGCCTTGGCTTTGCGCCTTGCTTTCAATGGCGGCCGGGTTCGAATCCGGCCGGAGGCAAGACACTGTGCCACAGGTCCCAGCGATTGGTCGACGGTTTAAGGTAATAAATTAATAACAGCGACACCAAGAAGAAGGGAACGGAGCTGTGGTGTAGTGTTCCCCGAACTGTGGCTCAGAAAAGCGAGAAGAGAACCCCCTCCCTTTTGCTTCGGCTGGCGCCCCATTCAAAAGGGGAGGTTTCTCCTGGCCTAACCCTCTCTCGAGTAACCAACGCGCGCCAAAACAAAAGCATGCCGGACTTTGCCTTCCGCGATATCGTGCCTGCGGTTCGCCGCACCGAGTGGTCGAGGGTGCGGGCCTGCACGTGGGTGGGTCTGGCCATCTTTGTCGTCTTCTTCTCGCCATTCCTGGTCGAGGGAACGGCAGTGGCGCTGGCGCTCGTGGCCCTCGTTCCGCTGGCGCTGGGCCTGGGGCTCATCGAACACTTCGTGCCCTCCGTGTGGCTCAGCATGGTCGTCCTCTTCATCCACGTCGCGGGCCTCGCCGACCTGGTTTCTGACTTCAACCTGCTGGGCAAGACGCTCATCGCCTACTTCACCGGCAGCTGGGTCGACGACGAAGACGAGAACGCAGAGGGCGACTCCGACGAACGACAGCTCCTGCTCGCTCGCGTGCTCATTACCCTCATCGGTGCACTTCCCGTCATGCTCTTCCTCATGTTCGGTATGCCGCCCACGGTGAAGCTATTCGACGACCTGGACGGCACCTCTTCGTCGTCTTCGCAGAAGTCGTCCTCGAACAGCGGCATGAGCAACGGAGTGGCGCTCATCCTCTTGGCGCTGGTGTGGAAGGTCATCATGGTGTGCCTGCGGCTGTTCCTCCTCTTCCGCGTGACGAAGGACATCATCATCGCCGGGCGCATACGCAAGGAGTCTCGCACTGCCATAGAGCTCACCGAGCTCTTCCTGTTGGCCGATCTCCTGTGGAGCGGCATCCCGCTCGGCGTGCTCACCTTCCTCGAACTCTTCTTCTACGGCGATGGCTTTAAGGTACAAACCACCACCACAGCCCTCCAACCCGTTCTGAGAAGTGTAAGCTTACGAATATGTGTCCCACACATTTGGCGTCAACAGGGTGACGAGGTGCAGGTCTTTGAGCTTATCAAGCTGGTCGCGGTGGCGGTGGATGCACTGGCGGCGTCGTACATCATCTACTTTGCCATCTTTGGTCTGGGCAGGTTCTGCCACCTCGAGGGCCATGACGACGAAGACGAACCAAAGCACGAACACGACGAGCACCCGCACACTGCCGAGCGCAAGAAGGTGACCCCAGCGATGACCGCGATACAGGCGGAGAAGGAACCACTCGTCATCAACCACGCCAAGAAAATGAATGTATGAGTCGTGTCGTCTCCAGACAGTGTGCTGGGGACCATGTTGTTACTGTTGGGCGTGCCGGATCTTGAGGCTGTAGTCGATGTGGGGCACACTTTGCGAGAGCAAGCCCAGCGAAATGACGTCGACGCTCTCGTGGAAGTACTCCGCGATGTTGTCCTGCGTGATGCCCCCACTGGCCTCGATCAACGTGTGAGGGTACTTGGCCTGAGATCGAACGGTAGATACGCGCGAGCGTCAGTAAGACTATGTCATCTGACACGTGTCTGGAGATCATGGGGTGTGGCGCGTTAGAGATGCCATCGCACCTTGAGGTTGCAGGCCGTTGTTTTTAATTTGGCGGGGGTGAAGTTGTCCAGCATGACGATGTCGGCTCCAGCCTGTATCGCCTCCTCGGCCTCTTCTTGGCTCTGGCACTCCACTTCAATCTTCAGAGAGAACCCGCACACCGAGCGCGCTGATTTGACGCAACACAAACCATGGTGAAGCTCGCGCCGTGAGTCGACTCGCAACCTTTGTCCATCACTCGGCCTGAAGGCCCAATGGGAAACGCAGGTGGGTGCACAAGATATACACGCACCTTTCTTCACCGCGTTAGTGATGCTGCCCGTGCTCACGACGTGGTTGTCCTTGAGCATGACCATGGACGACAGGTCGTAGCGGTGCGTATCGGCCCCACCGACCAGCATGCCGTACTTCTCAATGATCCTGAAGCCAGGCGTCGTCTTCCTCGTGCCTATAGAAAGAAACATAGAGGGGATGTAGTTTCGTTAAAACGAACACATGTGTCCGGCCCCCTTACTCCACCCTCGTAGTAGGGGGGTGTGTGGGTGGTGGAGGTTGTTTCCGTACCGGCGACTTGGCCCTTCCAGCCGTGCTGTTGCGCCAGCGAGGTGAGGTGGTGTGCGAGCGTCGCAATACCACTGCATCGGGCGATGAGGTTGAGCGCAGTCCGCTCGCCCATGAGAATGTTCCGTGCTGGTCCCCGCACATGTGCCACCTGCCGCCGCATGTACATGGAGGACACATGAGGTGTGAAGTGGTGGTTTTTGGGGGGGGGGGTGGAGAGGGCGCCAGGGACTACGACACCTCAGCGATGGGTTGGAAGGGGGTGCCTTCCTGGAGGTGCCACTCAACGGTGCAGTGAACCTCGCGGAAGACGGCATCGAAGAAGGGCACGCCAGCGACTACGCCGGGAGCCTTGCCCAGGAGCACGGCCACCTCCTCTTTGTCGCCCACCACGAAGCCGCCATAGTCGAACGAGGGGATGTCCTCGGCCAGCCACTCTTTTACCTTGGCCTCGACCGTGCCAAAAGGCAACAGACCTGCCAACCCCACCACGGCACCGCTGCTGCGCGTCTGCTTGTCCATCTCTCTCTCTCTCTCGAGTTTTAGGGTCTACGCTGGGTTGTCTTCGTCTTCAATCTTCGCTGCATACTGTGCGCACACGTGGCGAAATTTCGGGCAGGCTCAATGTTCTATTGGCGCTGCATCAGCCACACAACCACAGGGGGAGGCTTGAATAAAAGCAGAGCATTCCTGTCTAACTGCTCTCAAAGATGGTGTGCCTGGCCTCTGGACCTCCAACCACAACACCACTTTCTCAGGCCTCCAGAAAATTGTTTTCTTTGTGAAAACAAACCCACAGGCTGCTAGACATCTCTACCAGGGTGCAGGTGTATGTGCCACATACATATGCTCACATATGCTGATGTAAACCACTGTTGGTTGAGCTGTGTTGTGAGATTGGAAAATTAGAGTTGGTAGTGTGGTGGCAATCATGGACAAAAAATGGGCAATGATGAGTGCCATGTGTTTCAGGTCTATTTTGGGGTGGCTTCTTGCTAAAGCTCTCCACATAGTGCATCAGAAATACTCCACTGTCTTTGTCATTCTCTTGCATTGGTAGCTGCATTGCAAAGTGTGAGAAAGAAAGAGAGAGAGAAGATAAGTGAGCAAGCAGATGAGGACAGAAGAATTAATGGACCCTGCAGGAACCAAGTGTTTATGAAAAAGGGTCAGTGACCCTTTTTGCTTAACACAAAAATCAAGTATCTGTAACCATTTGGCTGTTTTTCATGAGGTTGGTGTACAAATCAAGGAAAGCTTGGGTATCATTTTCAGAAAATGTACAGAAGTGGAGGATGCTATTGAAGAAGAAATGACAAAAGCAGAATCCCTTTTTATGTACAGATTTACCATCTGACGCATGTTGGATTGCAATTTCGCTGAAATATGTGCATTTTTATGGTCTTTTCTTGCATTTTCTACCCATTTTCTGTTCACATTTCTCAGATTATGTGCATTGAACTGGCCAAAGTTCACTGATGACACCAATCTGTTTCTGGAGGGTGTGCAGATGCTGGTGTTACAGCCCTGACAATCTGTACATGCTGCCAGATAGTTAGTCAGCATAGTTATCTGATGCAAGGAACGCTCTCTGCGTTGTTTTAACTATTTATTTCTTTTTCTGCTAACATGGAGAAGAAATAAAGAATAAATAGTTAAAACATGGTCTGGTATGGGGTCTTTTTCTTGTGAATGAGGTGTAGAGGGAGGGAGGGAGGGTAGGGAAGAATGCAGAGAGTGTTCCTTGTGTTGGATAACTATGCTTACCTGACAGTAATGCCAGTTACCCTCTGGAGGAATGCTCTCTGCATTGTTGACTGCAGAGACAGTGAGTGGTTAGAGGTGAGTGATAGTGTCGTTGCTGTCACTGTCTTTGTCAGAGGTCAGGGACTGGTTGTCAAGATCATTGGGATCCTTGGGATTGATGGCGTTGAAGAGGATGTCTGAATAGGTTGTGGGGATCTTGGTGATGATGTAGTGTTGGTGGAAGGTGGCAGGGTCTCACCATCCACCCAGTCTGAAGATCACATCCACATCAATACCAGCCAAGATGCCTGCCATCACACCCAACTTGCAGAACATGCAGGCAGTGAAGATGGAGGTGTCAAGGCCAGCCACTCATGCAACAGCCTTGAGGATCACAGCACACAATTGCTGGGGGAGAGAGGTCCATGTGGGCACTCCAGCTCAAAGACAATGCATGGGTCCTGGATGCAGCTTCAGATGGTGGAGGTGGAGCAGGCCCACCATTTCCAGGTTGTGACCAGGCACAGGCATTTGTCACTGCACTCATAGAGGCAGACAGTGTGGCCTTCTCCATATAGGTCATTTTTGTACCCAACAACAGGTACAACCAACATGTCCTTGGTGTCGATGTGTTTGATGTGGATGGTGTTGAACTGTGGGAGGATGGCCACAGAGGTCCAGAGTGCGCTGAGCATGCAGAGGAGCATGAGGAGCTTCACACATGTCTTCTGTAGCAACATTTTGAGGCCCCAACCCTTGAAGAGGTCAGTCAGGCTTGAGAGGTCGAAGACTCACCCATGGTTGACAGGCTGCTTCATACAGTCATGGACAAGTGCTCTCCAAAGACATTTGATGAGCAGATCACAGGTAGGTTGGAGGCTGATCAGTTTGTAGACTGCAGCAATGGCTGCAAGCAGGCCATTGATGGTTGAGGATGGGCGTTGTGAGGATCTGGTGGCCACTTTGATGAAGTTGGCAATTGTGGCCACTGCTGTCAGGCCTGTTGGGGGGAACTTGAGGCTGTCTGCCCAGCAGTGGTCACAGAACCACAGTAGGGAACTGTGGTAGTGCCACCATGTGGATGGTGTGAGGGCTAGGTTGAGCATATTTAGTGCCAGCCCAGACCAGCCTTCTGTTCTGTGTCTCCACAGATCTTGAAGGCTGCCCAGCGCCAGTGGGGATTGTGCAGGGGTTTGGGGGGTAGAAGGCCCTGCCACTTGAACAAGTCTGGGATGTTGGGGATTGGGATTGGGGGTGTTGTGGACATCTGGCAGAGGTCCTGGAACCATGGTCTGCCAGGCCACACCAGTGTGATGATTGTGGCTGACGTGTGTTGTTGTTGGAGGAGGCGTAGCACACATGGGATAAGGGTGATAGGGGGAGTTGCCCAGTTGGTCTCCCCACACCAGTCCTGAGCAGTGGCATCAACAGCTTCAGAGTTCAGCTCCCAGAATCAGCTGTTGAAGCAAGGGAGCTGTGTGTTCACCACCATGGCCATCCAATCAATGGTGTGGGGTCCCCACTTGTGGTTGATGAAGTGGAAGAGGCTAGCCTCCACTTGTGCTGGGGGTAGAGCCAGCTGAGGTGGTCAGCTCTGTTGTTCTCAACGCCTGGGAGGTGTATGGCCAACAATTGGATGTTGTGGTGCTCACACAGGTCAAATATCTTGTGGGTCATGCAATTCATCACTGGGTTTCAGCCACCAAGGTGTTTGATGTACACAACTGCAGTGACATTGTTGCAGTGGAGGAGAATCAATTTCCCCCACAGGCAGGGGAGGAGGGCTTTCAGGGCTTGGTGGACTGCCTTGAGCTCCAACTTGTTGATGTGTTGGCTGCAATGCTTCCACCAGCCCATGGAAGTAGTGCTTGAGTCCTTCAGGGCTGTGCCACCCAGTGAGGGAGGTGTCAGTGTCAAGCACTAAGGGCCAGGTCAACACCACTCTCCCATCCCACTTGGAGAGGCCTGCCAACCACTCCTCAAGGTTGTGGATCGCTGCCTGGGACAGCTTGATCTGGCTGTTCCAATCAGAGCAGTGGCCAATGTCACAGAAGAGGTTGCAGAGGAGAAGTCAGGCTGGGAGGACTGCTCAGGTGAGGGAGACACAGTGGCCCGCTACTGCAGCTGCACAACACATGGGAACCAAGTGGTGGTGGCAAGTGTGGAGTAGGAGGCATGAAATGTCATGGTGGAGAGTGTGTGACTTGGCTGCTGGGACACAGAATCTCAGCTCCACCATCATGTCAACAATGAGGCCAAGGAACTCCTTGGCCTGGCTGGGCTCAAGTGAGGACTTCTCCCAGTTGACTGACCATCCCAGGTTGGTCAGCAGAGCCAGTGTAGTGGATTGGGCCTGGAGGGCCTCTTCCCAGCTGGACGCCATCATGATGATG